TTCCATCAAAGGAAAGGTGGCTCTTTCCACGTGACACTTATTCTAGATATTAACTTTCTTTTTTCCAGTATTTATATTTGAAATGTGGGGGGGAATGTGTGGGTGCTCATGGGGGCCAGAAGAAGGGAGTAGGGTTCCATGGAGTTGGAATTTCAGGTGGCTGTGAGCTTCCCTGAATGTTAGGACCCAGACTGGAGTCCTTGGGGAAGAGCAGCAAGTGATATTATCCAGATTTCCAGTTCTGGATATGAATTTTAACTCCCATTCACTGCATTATGAGGAAACCACTTGTGGTCTTTTCAGTCAATTTTTATTTTTTTAAAAAAGCAGCAAACCAACATCACAACTCAAACCTAATCTAAATGTGCACTTGTCAGTGAAACACATGTAGATGTGGAGTGAAAAAGGCTTTCAAAATAGTCCATCAGATATGGTCCCCAAACCCCCGAATAAACGAGCAGTCTTTGTAAGCCTTGTGTTTGACGACTCCCTGGGAACCGAGGCGTTATTGCTGGGAACACAAGTCTGCAGTACAGTAGCATGAGTCTTGGGTAGTAAGCATAAACAGTTGAATCAAGTTAAAAAGTTGAAAATGTGGTAAGAAACTGTGGAGGTGGGGGACGGGGTAGGAGAGAGTCTGTGAGCCTTGACCCAAGAGCAACTGAGACATCTCTTAACTTTTCAGTTGAGAGCAGGCATGTTAAATCTCCACTTGTTTTACAAGAAGGCAATTAAAACTTACAATTCCAACAGCCCACAAACCAAATAAGAATATTGTAAAAAGAAATCAAAACTATGTTCAGAGCTCCACCCCATCTCATTTTCAGCACCCCAAGGAAAATAAAGGCATCCATGACTATCACAGATGAAAACAAAATGAATGTCACTAGAATCAATTTTTCCCCACTGAGGCATAAAATCTATATAGAAATCTGATACTATAACAAACTGTACTTGTCATAATTCTGTTTTAATTTCCTTTAAACCCTGTTTGATATAATTTTATTGTAAAAATGTTTTCATGATGCTGAACCTGGTCCAGTTCTTTCCACTTACTTTCCTATCAGGTTAATATTGCAGCTACTAGTTCTATCAGGAGCCTCTTCTCCAGGAGGCACACTCAGCAGAAACGCTGGCGTGCACAGAAGCTGTGGAGGGGCCTCTGTCAGAGAGCGCATTCCGCCTGCTGGGGACCTGAAGGCTATTCACCACTGTTCTCGGTGAGGACTCTTCCAGCCCTGTAAACATCAGTGTGCCACAGTCTCATTACTTTGCAGTTTCATGTCCTGGGACAGGAAGGCTGGTTCACAGCCAGTGAAAAGCTAGAGGAGTCTGAGTTTTGATGGCTGATAAACCTTACATCCCACAGAAAAGGAAAACACTTTTCCTTCTTTGCTACTTAAGAATGTGGCAGAAATGTATGCTGAGGTAGCCCAGTCAATCCTTATTTTTCTTTCTTTCGTTGTTGTAAATTTGGTCTCAGAATATTTCTGGAAGGGTGACATTTCGAAGCCACTGCTGGGACCTGCTTCCAGTACAGTCTCTAATGCTGGGCACTTGGCTGTCCTCTTCCGTGGCTTTATCCAGGCACTGGTTACTGTTCACATGCTGCAGGGTTAATTTCACTGGGTCATACTCCCAGAGCTGGTTGCATTTGAGCATGGTAACTGGGCCATTAAGTTTGGAAATGTCCAAACAAAGGTCATCTGTTCTAATCTCTTTGTTGGCAGTGTAGGAGAAAGCCTGATTACCTCCCAATCCATGGCAATTGAAAATTCCAACCTTTCCATTCTCTTTTCCAGCCATGTTATCTAGACATTGATTAGTTTCCACATTCTGTATCTCTCCCAATGAGGAATAGTGACGTGGAATTTGAGAATCAGGGTAAATATTTTCTAGGTACCAAGAGAAAGGTTTGCATTGTAGTTTATGTCTCAGACCGAGTCTTGATAATATATCTCCATAATCCACCTTTGTAACACCTGGAGAAATTATATAGAAGAAATTCTTGAATTCATCCATCCATACTTCTGCAAGCCCTCTGTTATTTTTATTAATAATTTGCCCTGTCCCTCCTGGAAACGTGTAAGGTGTAGCTTGCTGAAACACATGACCAACATGGGAACAAGTCACAATTTCTAAAGTTCCTCCACACTGCCAAATCCTAAAGGAAATTTCTAGGTTTTCTCCTCCCCAAATATCCATGCCAGCATCATAGGTTCCAATTTCCTGAAAGTAATCTCTGTCTATTGAAAAAAGGCCGCCGGCCATTGTACGTGTTCTGACAGGAAGAGTCCGGTCACCTTTCCTTCTGTCCATTTCTCTCTGGGGAACAGGATACCAACAAAAATTGAGCTTCCAGTTGAATCCACCATAGGTCATGTCAGAGCCTGCCCCGTACTCGAAAGTACCATCGCTGATCACATCAATGATAAGACACACCACTGTTTTCCTGCCATGTTTGATCCTGGCTAAGAGAGGATCCAGCTACCCTGCTGTACACTCACAGTGTGCATCCAGGAAGGTGGTCACTTGGCCTTTGGACACAGCAGCTCCTTTTACTCTAGCTCTGATGAGCCCAGAACGTTGTTCCATTCGAATTACATCAACTGGCACCTTGAGTTTTTTTTTTCCACATAACTCTCTAGAGGTCTTTTCAAAAAGTCTCTTCCACTGGCATCATCTACAAGAAGAATCTCTTCTGTCATGTGTCTTGGGGAGCGATTAATGACACTATGGACTGTTGGAAGAAGTGTGCTCCATGCCTCACTGTGGAAAACAATCACCACGATTGTTGTAGGAAGGTTATCTGGATACACCTTTGTTTTACATCCCTCTAACCTCACATCTGGTAAAGATCTGTTGAGTGCAATTGTCTCACTTGCCATCAAATTGAACTGATTGATTTTAAACATCGCTTTCAGTTTTTCCTGATCCTCTTTAGGAATGACGACTGGTTTCCCCATTTCTCCAGGACCTTCTTGAGGCTTCTGCACTGGCTCTGGAAGTCAGGAAGTCCCCTCTCCTCATCACACTTGTTGCACTCACTGAAGCAGCAGGAACATATCCAAGAGTACCCAAACCGAGGAGGTGGCGAGAACCACCTTGCAATATGCAAATTTTCTCATGGCACTTTAAGTCAAATGTAAAATTTTAAAATATACATATATAAATATACAAATATCATGAAAATTATTCCAATCTGGTTTCATCAGAAATCATGGTCACACCCCCAAAGTGACTTTTCAAATGAATTCGTATCACAAATCCACATGTCTCACATCATCTCGGCCCACGCGGTGGCGGCAGCGGTGGGCGCTCCTCAGGGCGGCGCGGGCAGTGGCTGCGCGCTCCCGCGGGCCTCAGCAAGGCCGCCATCCGCTGCGCCGCCTCCTCGGCCTCCGCCGCTCCCGCCCCCTCCACCCTCCCACCCCACCCCTCGGCGCGCTAGTTCCTGCCGAGCCTCATGCAGCCGCGAGGGCCAGCGCTCGCCAGGTGTCTCCATCAGCAAGGGGCGCTCGCCCCAACGCCGCCCGCCCGCCCGCCCGCCGGGGCGCAGTCCTCGCCCCACTTGTGGTCTTAGAAAGGTGATATTGGCCATCGAGACACTCCACATTGCTCCACTTCTAAGCATGGACCTCCAGAGAGGAAGCACAGCAATGAACAGTGCTGCCAGCTGTCACTGGTCTCGATGCCATAAGCCTGACCTGGCCAGCTCAGTATGACCTTCAGTTAATTCCCTTCTCACATGTCACTTACAGTTCTACCTTTGGAGGTCCGGTTAAAAGAACCCAGAAGGTAGAAGTTCCCTCCTAGCATCCAGGGTATACAGTGATTTCTTCAATAAGCTGCTTCATGTCCTCAGAAAACAGTGTGGGGTTTCTCTCAGTACTGATCCTTTAAGTTGTTGTTTTCCTGAGACAGGTTCTCACTATGCAGCCCACGGCGGCCTGCTACTCACTTTATATACAGAATGGTCTCAAACTCAAGATAATTCTCCTGCCTCATTCTTCCATGTTCAAAGATTACAAGCATGTGACATCATACCTGGCTTCAATATGTATAAATTGTAAATTTTACTTAATTTTGGCTTTGTAGAATGATGGGACATTACTTCAATATTTTCACCAAGTAAATAAAAAAAAAACTTCACTGGATTCATGTGTGATAGAGAATGACTAATTCCAGCACTTTGGATGACTGAGACAGGCTAATTAGCAATTTGAGACCAGCCTGAGTGATGTTAACATTTTAACATTTCAGGGCCAGCCTAGGCTACAAAGTGTGATACTACCTGAAAAAGAAGAAGAGGACAAGGAGGACAAGGAGGAGGCGTCTTCACAGAAGTGATAATTGTAAATGCCATCTGAACATTTTGGAGGACCTAATCTTTTTTTTTTTTTTTTTTTTTTTTTTTTTTGGTTTTTCGAGACAGGGTTTCTCTGTGGCTTTGGAGGCTGTCCTGGAACTTGCTCTGTAGACCAGGCTGGCCTCAAACTCACAGAGATCCGCCTGCCTCTGCCTCCCGAGTGCTGGGATTAAAGGCGTGCGCCACCAAGCCCGGCGACCTAATCTATTTTTATCATAGGTACTGTAAATCATAGAGTGATGAAAACTTTTTTCAAACGAAATTGGATGCTACTATACAAGGAGCTGAAGAGGATGGTGTGGATGGTGTGGAGTCCTTAGCACTCTTGTACTTTGTTATTAGAGATGATGATGTTTACAGCAGTCACATTCATACAGGATATTCACTGGCCCAGATGCTCAGTAAAGAGGGTTGGAGACAGCCCATAAAGCCAAGCACCATGACCTATTGACGGGAGTATCTGGGCAATGGGACTAGGAAATGCCTGGGAAAGAAGACAGTTCTAAATACCAGAGATGACACTTGTAACCTGCTGCAAAATACAGACTTGTCATGATAATTACCTGATGGGTCAATAACATCAACCAGCAGAGGTGAGAGGGGAAAATATCAACAAACCAGCAACAAGTTATGCTTTCAAACAAAACACAAGGGACAAAAGCCCATTTATTTTTTTACTAAGCGTAATTTAGAATACTTTTCTTAAACATAGTTATCTTAACTAACACATGCTAGACTTCAGCATCCTCCTACTACATTCTGGAACACATTAAAGTATTTGTTGTATCTTGCTGACCACAGTAATAACAGGATCACACACTTGGGTGTAGATCATCGTTCTTGAGAGAGCTTTCTGACATTAATTTTTCCAGGATCTCCTTGAGATAATGTATTAAGTGGTGTCTTTTAAATCTGAAAATAAACATAAACACCATGTAAGAAAAAGACACCCAAAGCACCTGTGTCGTAGGAAGTGCTGTGTGACCCAAGGCAGGAGCTCACCATCTGTGGGAATAGTCAGTACATTGCAGGTACCAGGTACTCTAGGCAATATGAAGGGTGTCTACTGAGATCAGTGCCCAGCTCAAGACTACCATGACAAAGGAGGGTTGAGTAGGCCTGGAAGGATGTGTCCAACACAAGTGACATCAACCTAGATGTCTACGTCATCAGCCTTAGCTATAAAGTTGGGCCAGGGACTAAGACTCCAAGCAGGCGCTGTTCTCCACCCTCACCCAAGCACTGCGTGAAGATCTGCGGTGCCCCTGTGCGCCCACCCACCTTGCCGCTTCCTTGATGGTGAACTCTACCAACTCTTTCCGGGCTTCCAGAGGTCCCTGCACTTCTTCAAGCAGCTTGAAAATCCTTCCATATTCTAGAGACAATGTAAGAATACTTGAGCATTTCCCAGAAATGAAGAAATAGGGCTGGATCTTGGTGGATCTGTGTGTACCTCAGTAATACGCTTTGTGGTCAGGAATGCTAAATGGTGGGTATGTGTTCCAAATGCCTCTGCACAGAGACGGACACAATCCTTATGAGCAATGACCAAGCAACATTACAAATGAAAGCCAGAGACTACTGAGATATTTCAGTGACGATGACTGTAGGCAATTGTATAGAAACTCTGGGTTGTGGCAAAGGCTGGATCTCCTGAGGCAGCTTCAGGTTATTCTGATCACACAACTAGAAACACCTGCCTTGTCTTTGTTACTAGCCATTCTTTGAGTAGTTATGGCGTCCACAGCATCGGATTTCTGACATCAGGGCATGTTTTATTTCATACAACTGGCGAAGCTTCAGAGAAGCGCCCCCCCCTTGCAGTAGATGGAAATTAATGCAGTGGCCCACAACTGGAAAATGTGCAGAGAGTGAGAGAGTTCAAAGCTCTCAGTTCTAAATTTGATATATTCATCAATCCCCCCTTTCAAGACTCAATGCTCTACGCAGAAGAGGAGGAAAAAATTTTGTAAAAGCCAGAGGTTGTGGATGACTCCAAAACAGTCTTCTAGACAAAACAGTACTGGTGTAAATCTGAACTCATGCATGAGACCCACACAGGTTCAATCCACACAACATCCCTGTCTGGAGAGGGGCAAATATTCACAAAGTTCCAACCCGAACAAAGAAGCTATTTGTAATTAATTCCTTCTAACAAGAAAATCTGTTTTCTCCCATCGAGTGTCAACAGGGTATATCAATTACACACCAGAGAAGGCTCCACGACCAGGTGTAGTTGGCAAACACAAAACAGACTCTGTATTTTGTTTGGTTTTGGTGTGTTGTGTTGTGGTGTGTGTATGTGTGTACATTTGCCCTTTTTTGGTATTTCCTGTCTTATTGTTTTGTTTTGATTTGGGGGGGTGTAGAGTGAAGCCTTTTCCTTGCTAGCTGCTTTGGTTTTTCCCCACCAGTCGCCTGGGCTCTGCCGCGTTGTAGTCCCCAAATAACACACAAGACGCTGTATTAATTATGAAGCTGTTGGCCTTGCTTGTTTTATACTGGCTAGCTCTGACTGAAGTATTTACCCCATAATTGTTATTCTAAGTATTTCTCTTACTGGAGAAAGGGTCTGGACTTCTTACCCCTATCATAGCTACATGGTGACTCCCTGTGTTTCTCCTACCTAGAGTCCTCCTGGACTCCTAGTCCCACCTATCTTGCTTCCCTATTGGCCAACAATGCTTTATTGACATATACACAGGCCTTCCCCATCATCTCCTCTTTTCTGTCTAAATAAAAAGAAAGGTCTTAACTTTAACATAGTCAAATTATATATAACAGAACAGTTTCGAAGTAAGAACACAGTTACAATATTTTGTCTATCACATTCAGCAGGATTTAAAGAAAATATCATCCATCCCATCCTTGTGAGTCCAAAGTTCTATATGTAGCTTATGTTTTAACATAACTAAGGAAAACTATAATTATAACTATCTGCCTTCAACTCTATCAAAGACCACAGAAGGATAACATATAAACACTAGGATTGACAGAGCCTACTCCTGACACCAGATAATGATGATAATCAATGCTATAGGGAATACAATATATTTATTTACCAGAGTGAGAATCACACAAGCTGGGAGTCAGAAGTGTGGCTGTATTCCAAAAGAGGAGGTCCTTTTTCCTTTCGCTTCCTTTTATATCTACCTGTGCTAATTTACTTGTCCCTGCCCTCATGGGTGGATAACTTTGTGGGGTTCACTCCTAGGGGGGGTTCTGCTTCTCATGAGAGAGAGAGAGACAGAGAGAGAGAATTTTAATAGGATTAGAGATACTTTCCATCTCTGTTAGTAGTCATTTTCCCAGTACTTACTTCGTCCATATCGTCGAATTTCCTTCATTAGCTCATGTTTTACATCAGCATTAGGGTTCTCACAGCTTACTGGGTACTGATTGGCCACAACTTTGCCCATAGTCAGTGCTGCAACTCTCGGAGCACTTACAGGGCTCTCTCTGCTAATGATTCCTCCTGTAAATGTGGCATCACCACCTTCAGGAATTAGCCCTGCACTGCTAAAATAAGTGGATTTGTCAAACGGAGCATTCTTTCTCAGAACCCATTTTGGGGAGCCTTTGCTTGTGGTGGGACCACCTTCCACCATCTCCTCCTGGGCCTTTGGGCTGACAGTAGCACCTAGAAAGAAAAGAGAAAAGCTGAGTTGTGGAGTGGGTGAGTTCCCTGTGCTCCTTGGGGTCTAAAATAATTTCAGAGGAAGAGAGCATACCAGAGAGAAATCTCACCCATGACAAACCGACCCCAGGACCTTCTGGAATCATGAACACACACAAACTAGGTGGACAGGACAATGAAGAAATAAACACGTACAGATCCCTGGTGTGCGTGGTTTAGTTTCACTTTCATGTACTTTAGAGGATGAAAATATCATGTGATATGAACATAGAAGCTATTTCTAGGGGCGAGAGAGATAGTTCAGCAGTTAAGAGGGCTTATTGCCTTTGCAGAGGCCACAAGTTCAGTTCCAGCATCCACTATGAGCAGTTCACAGCCACCTGTAACTCCAGCTCCAGAGGATATGAGTCCTCTGGTTTCCAAGATCATCTGCATGAACACACACATACCCATAGCTAAAATAAAAAAATCTGAAAAAAAGATATTGCTGGGAGGTGGTGGCAATGCCTTTAATTTCAGCACTCAGGGAGCAGAAGTGGGCAGAACTTTGTAAGTTCAAGGCCACTCTGGACTACAATGTGAGTCCCAGGACAGCCAGGATAGTCACATAGAGAAACCCTGTCTCGAAAAGGCAAAAAAGAAAAAAAAAGTTTAAAAAACAAACAACAAAAAAACCAAAAAAGGTATTACTACTCATTCACCCCAAATCCCAATCTGTGAATGATTTCACGCCTCTTTCTCTTATAGAATTCACATACATGAATTCTTCTTCCTCCTAGCGTGATGCACCCATGTCATTTGCTCAGCCTCTGCTGTGCCAGGCACCTGTCAGGATGTGTGATGAGCAGTGAAGTAGAAGAACAAGATCTTGCCTCGCCCTAAAAGAACTCACAGTGCCCCGAGCACATCAGGGAGGAACTGCACTCAGCTAGCACAAATTCACAGCTGTTTCTGTGTTGACGACATGAGCACGGATAGCTAAGGGAGAAGAGAGGGAGCCCACAGGAGCACTTGGTGGCAGGGCCTTTAAGAAGGGTTCACATAGCAAAGGGGGAAACAGAGGTGACCTGTGCAGACACAGAGGCAGGGATTTGGAGACATGAACCTGGGGCCACAGAAAGCGTGACAAGGTGACCACTGTGATCTAGGAGAGGAATGAATGGTAGGATGAGTTATACAGACTCTTGTAGATCACAGTCAGGAGTCAGCTTGTGTCCTTGGGGCTAAAGAACACAGAGGATGCGCTTTCAGCATGGGCGTGGCATGGCCTCATTTCCCTGTCACTATATCCAAGCTGCAGAAGTAGAGACTAAGAAGTGGGCAATAAAGTTGGGCTTGGTGGCGCATGCACCTTCGTCCCAGCACTCAGGAGGCAGACATAAGTGGATCTCTGTGAGTTCAAGACTACCCTGATCTACATAGCAAATTCCAGGTCAGCCATAGTAAGACACATTGAGACCCTTCCCCAACAAAAATGGAAAAAGTGATCCTTGGGGATGGAGACATGGTTCAAAAGTTAAGAGTGCTTGCCACTCTTCCAAAGGAACTGATTTCAGTTCCTGGCACCATGTTGGGAAGCTCACAAGTGCCTGTCCTTCCAGTTAGAGGGGATCCAGTTTCCCCTTCTGGTCTCCACATAGACTGCCACAAACATGGGACACACATAAATAAAAAAATTAAAAGAAGTAAAGAACATTGGGAAAGGGAAAGGGAAAGAGCAGAGCAGACATTTTTGGTCCTTTGTGGCGGTCTGCTTTAGAGAGTATTGCATGGTTAAGCAAATGAATAACAGAAAAGGGAGGAAAACTGTGGCAAAGCGTCACCAATAAGGAATAGAAACACAAAGCAGATCATGGAAACCCTGGTAAATGGCTATAAATGAAGACATGAACAGCTCCATCTAAACATACTCAGCATAGATGGGAATGCCATCTCAGACCACTGATGCTGTCCATAATAGTTTCTGCTGTGAAGGATACCGAGACAGGAGACCACACAAAGTATAGCATGAAGGAGAGGTGAGGACAGGAAAAAAGACATGCAACCATGTGCTGCTGAGCACAGGCCAGGGGATACAGCACCTCCACCCTCTGTTAGAGTTTATCCACGTGCAGGAAGCTGCTTTCCACGACCTGCTTGACACATGAAGGACACAGCATCGTTTACATCTTTACACCTCTGTTCCCTACCACCTGCAAGCTTACCAATACCTATTTGTCTAGCCACAGGGGACCGGATTACCTTCTTCTTTTGCAATGACTGTGGCCTTAAGATGAAGTTCTCCTTCTTTTTCCTCCACTGGCATCCAGGAAACAATGTGCTTCATTTCGGGTAATGTATGACCCACAGCTTCTCCAGCATGCCTCTCTTTATTTTCTGAGCATATAGAAAGCTCGTCACCTTTTTCAGCCATCATCTTTGTGTAGAAAATATCAACAGTTTTATTCCATTAATGACAAAATCCAACCATACAACGTTGCAAAAAGGGAAAGAGAAAAAAGGAGCAAAGCTTCTGGGCTGGAGTGATGGTTACGTGGTTAAGAACATTAGCTGCTCTTCCAGAGGACTTCAGTTCGAGTCCCAGTATCCATATGGTGGCTCATAACTATTTGAATCTCCAGTTCCAGAGGATCTGATCCCCTCCTGCTTCTCCAGCAACAGGCATACGAATGGAGTAAAAACACATATGCATATATGCAAGCAAAATACACACATACAAAATAAAATAAAGCAAACATTCTGGGGTAACATTGCAGTTTAGAAGTTTCATCTGTGTGATTCCACAATGTGAAAAGTCAGGAAAACCCAGAAACTCCAAACTGTGAAAAAAGCAAGGCTATGTGGTTCCTCCAGAAGATTATGACTCCATGATAAATAAAGTAAAAATATCTAAAAGTTTTGGGTGCAGAAAAATCCAGAAGTTTGGTGTGTGAGATGATCTCTGAGCTCAAAGGGTTCACAAGAAATGGAAGAATGAAGGAAAGAAGTGAATTCATGAAGTGGGTGAAAACTTTGGCAATGAGATAGATATCCCTCTGGGGAGCCAAACAGATAGCTTATAAATTCAGCAGTTAGTAAATCAAACGAAACATTTAACAGAGAGCATCTAGACCAAGCCTAACAAAGAATTCCAGGAATTAAATACAAGATTGAGGAATTATTGCTCTTACATGGCAAAAATCAAATTAAAAACAGAGTAGTCATGACCACAGCATTCAGGGAATACTGGAACATGATCAAGACACCAATCCCGGCTGGAGAAATGGTTCAGCTATCAAAAGCATTTGCTCTTTCAGAGGACCCAGGTTTGATTATCAGCATGCACATGGTGGCCTCCAGTTCCAGGGGAAGCCCTCATCTGACTTCTGACTTCTGTGCAGGCGCATACCTGATTCACATATATGCATTCAGGCAAAACCTTCACATACATAAAAAAATATTCTTTAAAAAGAGAACAATCCTATGAACTTTGGGCTTAAAAAAAAGGAACCAAGTTGTACTCTAAACACATAAACTCTATCCCATGAAAGTTCAGCAGAAAATTTCCCAAATCTTAGGAAAGATGTGGTCATGTATGTACAGGAAGAATTTACGACCTCAATTAGACAAGCCCAGAAAACCACCTCTCCATGTCATCTTATGGTTCTAATGAGAACAAAGCTGAACAAAGAAAAAAAATAAAATAAAAAGTCGTATGACCAAAGCTCCAAGACTAGAGCTAGGAGATCAAGTATTTAAACAATTTTTTTTCAGCTTCAGGATCAAGGACTTTTTAAAGATTTATTTATTATGAATACAACATCCTGCCTGCATGTGTGTCTGCACTCCAGAAGAGGGCACCCGATCTCATTATGGATGGTTGTGAGCCACCATGTGGTTGCTGGAAATTGAACTCAGGACCTCTGGAAGAGCAATCAGTATTCTTAACCTCTGAGCAATCTCTCCAGCCCAAATATTGATAAACTTAAAGCCTTGTTGTTCTCTCCTTCCTTCACTTGGGTCTCAGGAATTGAACTCAGGTCATCAGATTGGGAGACAAGCATCTCTGCATACTGACAGATCTCTCTGGACTACATATATATATATATATCGGGGCACTGTGCTTCATGACTTTAACCTCATTAAAGTGGTAAAAGCAGAGTGAGTTGGATGCCAGTCTGGTCTAAAAAGTGAGTTCCAGGACATCCAAGGCTACATAAAGAGACCCTGTCTCAAAAAAACAAAGAGAAAGAGAGAGTACCTGCCAACCAAGTTTACTACACCCTCATTTTTTATCCTTAGAGAGAAAGTCCTTCCATAATAAAGAACAAGATTAGTCATCACTAAGTTATCACCAACGGAGACAGTTAATAGAATATTATGCACAGAAGATATGATATGAAGCACCTTTCAAGGACAGCATGGTCTACAGAGTGAGTTCCAAGACAGCCTCCAAAACCACAGAGAAACCCCGTTTGGAATCCCCCGACCCCCAAAAGATATGCAGCAGCATGAAAGCTTGGAAACAACCCAGAAGAAAGGTAAGTGGGAATTTGGAAAGGGACAAATATTTTTACCTCAGTAAACCCACAAATTTTAAGATGAATATAGGAGAAATTAATACATACCTTATAAATATCAATGGTCTTAACTCTCTCCCTATAATATGCAGACTGGATGAAGAGATTAAAAATAAGATTCAACTGTTTCCTGTCTCAAGGAACTTCACTGTCAAGGACAAACAGAAACAGTCAAAGTGTGGACTATGGCATTCCCAGGCAAACAGAACCTATGCAAACGCAAGGGCAGCTATACTCATTATCTTTAAAAAAAAGTTAAAAAGAGATAAGGAAGGTCACTGCATCTTAATAAAGAGAATAATCCATCAAAAAAGATGTACCAACTGTAAGTACCCACAGCAAATGTTGGGTCACCTGATTTCATAGGCCCAAAATTCTGGACATGAACAGGTAGATCCAGGATACAATAAAAGTGATTGCTTACAATAGCAGATTCTCATCAATCCCTAGATCATCCAGACCAAAAAAAAACCAATGGAGAACCTTCAGAGTTTAACTGTACCACGGCTCAAACCGGTTTTACAGACATCTGCACCTGCAAGGTAGCTAGGAAATGCATATTATTTTCAGCAACCCAGGGAACGTTGTATAAACAGATCACATTTTCTGTCACTGAGTGAGTCTTAATAGGTACAGTCTTAATGTTTTATCAGACAGCGGTGGGAAAATAAAAGGCAAAGCAAAGGAAACAGCCCAGTGAAGAGGGAGCACACAAGCCAGCCCCAGGGCTCGTGCTTCTTAGAGCAGCATATGGGACCCACAGTGGGATTGCTGCTGCAAATTCAAGGGCAGTCTCCGCTACAGCCCAGACCATGGTTCACAAGCAAACTGTAATAAGACGGAAGAATGAAAAGACTACATAACCAGGAAACCAGAAGTGGGGGAGGAAAGGGAGGGGTTAAATATCAAATACTTCACTTTTTGCGTTTGAGTGAGATAAGACTAGATACAGTGTAGAAAAAACAGCCTAAGAAAAGCTGCTCCTGGGGGGTGTAGTGACACACACCTTTAATCCCAGCACTTGGGAGACAGAGGCAGAAGCAGGCAGATCTCTGTGAGTTCGAGGCCAGCCTGGTCTACAGAGTGAATTGCAGGACAGCCAGTGCTACAGAGAGAAGCCCTGTCTCAAAAAACAAACAAACAAACAAACAAACAAATAAAAATGTCTTATATTTTGTAAAATTGCTTAAAGCAAAAGTGGAAACTTCTATGTCCACAATGTTTTGGTTTAGGAGTCCTCTAAGCATTTCAAGGGTAGTAAAATATTTTAGACAAAGTCTGTCACAAACAGAAAAAAAAAAACGAGCCCATTCCTAAATCATTTTGTGAAACCAATAGAAAGCTGGTGACAATCTACATAACACATTAGAAGGAAAACTGTGAGGTGTAATCTCTCCTGAAAAAGAAGATAAACATCTCAAATCAATGATTGTCAGACAAAATCCAAAGGTGGGTGGGAACCATGCAGCATGTCACCGTACAGTTCAATACAGAAAGGCAAGGCTGCTTTAACCCCAATCAACTCTAAGCGCAGAAAAGGGTCAGGGAAATAGCAAGTCATTTTTTAAACCTTTTTATTACTTTAATTTTAAATAAATAGTTTGCTTCACATGTCAATCCCAGTTCCCTCTCCCTCCCCTCCTCCTGCACCCCACCATCCCCCCAGCCTCCCACACTATCCCCACTACCTTCCACATAGGGGATATCTAGAGTCTGTCATTTCACTCAGGGCAGGGTCCAGGCACTCCCCTAAGAGTCCAGGCTGAGAGAGCATGCCTCTTTGTGTTATGGACACACAAAGTCCGTTAATAGCAAGTCATTTTAAAAATGCCTTAAAATTCCAATCCTCTTCATGACTTGAAAGCAACTGAGAATATAAAACAACGGCTGGAACCCGTTGAAGTGTCTATCATATACAAAATAACCTGGTTTTTCCTCTCATATGACAGTCTACATTTAGCACTATGTATACACAACAGGAAGCAGCAGCGGGCCCTTTTGGGTAAAGGAAGCACAGTAGCAGAGAGAGGAAGAGGGAGAACCGAGGGGAGGGGACAGTTGGAGAACAAGAGTAAGCTGCAATAAGACAGGGATGTCATCTTGATGACACTCACTATTATAGCACAAGCCAATGTCACAATTAACTAATAAAGTGTGTCTACTAAACAAACATCAAAATCCATTTAAAAATACTAAGCATTTTCTCCCCCAAATTGCAAACAATACAACGATGCATACTCTCTATCCAACAATATGTTAAATGTTCTAATAATGTGGCAGAGCCGGAGCAATGTGAAAACACAAAGGCTGGTAAGGGAAGTGTCATTACCCACAGGTGACACTTCTGTTTGGAGAGACCACTTAAAATGATCCAAAACCACTGCAGTTACTAAGTGACTATAGTTAAGTTTCTAGACCTAGGGGCAAGAATCAGAAGCCACCTGTATTTCTATAGAGGAAGTACAAATAGTAAATGAACTTCAAAGAATCAATGAAAGCATGCCCCAAACCTTGAATACCTAGGAACATACTGGCAGATGCGCTAATGCATTAGAAAGGAAGGAAGGAAGGAAGGAAGGAAGGAGGGAGGGAGGGAGGGAGGGAGGGACGGAGGGAGGGACGGAGGGAGGGAGGGAAGGAAGGAAGGAAGGAGGGAGGGAGGGAAGGAAGGAAGGAAGGAGGGAGGGAAGGAAGGAAGGAAGGAGGGAGGGAAGGAAGGAAAGAAGGAACGAAGGAAGGAAAGAACGAAGGAAGGAAAGAATAACCATTACTTAGAGAGAGTGGAGATGATAGTAAATTGAAAAGAACAGTATTTGTACGAAGGAGAAATCATGCTTTTAAAACTCATCAACATTAATTCCTTCTAGAAAGGTAATAACAATCTCATTCAAAATCCCACTATGCTAATTGATTTTGAAAAATGGCAACCTAGTAATAAGTATGGATGTGAAATTGCTTAGACTATCCAGTCTTTAAGGAAAACAACATTAGAAGAAACAATCCCAGCTGGGAGTTTTAAAAGAAAAGCAGGGTTGGGGAGATAGCTGTCAATCAAGGGTTTTATATTTGATTCTAAGCACCCACATGAAAACGCTGTGTGCGGTGACGTTCACCTGTAATCCCAGCAGCGCTATGGAGGAAGAGACACTCAGAACAGATATTTGGGACTTGTTAGCCAACCAGGCTATTCTAATTGGTAAATCCCAGGTCAGTGAGACACTATCTCGAAGGGGTGGACAGAGGCATTTGAGGCATCCACATATAACCTACACACATGTATAAACTCATAAGTGAAACCATATGACACTGGAATAAAGACAGGCAAACATGGCAGCGGGAGAGGATATAGGATCTAGAAACAACTAGATTTATAGCACCTAGGCCAGCAAACCATCCTGGAAAACATGCTTCATTCATAAGTTCACTACCAAGAAGCTTCTCTGACGAGGGCCAAGCAAGACACTGGTACAGCAGAAGGTCAGTGGGAGTCATTTTATTGCTATGTTACCTTAGCAGGTTAAGAGTTCCTTTTATCCCTCCATAACACTATATTCTACTTCTCATTCCTTGAGAGCCTGTCTTCCCCCACTGTTCTCTTACTATCCCTACCCTCTGGGGTTATTCGGGTTGTAGCATGCATATCAAAAGCTTGGAAGCTGAGGAGCTTCTTGCAACAGATGGGAAGTAAGACAGAGACCCACGACTGGACAACATGCAGAGAGTGAGACTTTGCAGACTCAGTCCTAAATGGGATGCTTTCACCAAACCCCCTGCCCTCCAAGACTTGGGCATCTATGTGGAAGAAGAGGTGAAAGGACTATAAGAACCAGAGGCTCCGGAGGACCCCAGGGAAACTGTCTTCCAGATGCAGCAGGATTGGTACACAGATGAACTCCCAGAGGCTGTGGCAGCACACACAAGATCTGCACATGGTCAAATCAGACGGGGCCCCAGCACTGACAGGGGAAGTGGACAAGGGATGACATGCTAATTAAGAAGTGATTTGCAACTGATACCTTCTGGCAAAGGGACAGTTTTCCTCAATGGAGTGTCCCTGGATATATCAACCACACACTTCAGGGTAGGCTGCATGCCCAGAAATATTTGGCCAACAAAAAATGAACTCCATAATGGGAGGGGGCTTTTTGTTTCCATTTTTGTTGTTTTGGCTTTTTTGGTTTTTCTACTTTTTTGAGGGGTGAGAAAATATAAAGTCGGTGGGTAGGATCTGAGTGGAGTTGGGAGATAGGAAAATACAGTAAAAATATACTGTATGAATTTATTTAAAAATTAAGAAAAATAAATTCACATCATAAAGACAAAGAAAAATTATCCTTTGACTCCTAGTTCACGGGAGACATGTAAGTATACTTAGAATATTATATTTGTGGGTATTTGGGCAAGCAAAGATTGCTTTTGCCCTCCAAAACAATACAGAGAAACCCTGTCTTGTAAAACCAAAAAAAAAAAAGATTGCTTTTGCTTGTTTTTGTAGTTACTAGGGACCAAAACCAAGACTTCAAAAATGTTAGGCAAGCCTTGTCCCTTGAGACACATCTTTAGTCTGTCCATTTATTATTTATTTGTTGATTTATTGAGACAAGTCTCACTAAGTTGCCCAGGCTGGCATGAAATTGCCAGACAGGACTTCAGGTTGCAATACTCCTGCTCAACCTCTCGGGTAGCTAGGATTATAATCTTGTGCCTACAGGCAATCCTAACTAAGTTTTTTTTAAAAAGAATAAGACCACTGGCCACCAAGATTGAATTTTAATACATTCAACTAAAAGCCATTAGTTCCAGTGTTACTACTGGGCATGGTGGCACATTCTTGCAATCCACGCATTGGAGAGGTTATGGCAGGAGGATGCAGTGTGAGGCCAGTTTGGTCTACACAACAAGAACCCAACTTAAAGGGAAAGCAGAAGGGAGACAAAGAAGAAAGTTAAAATTCTCTTCTTATATACGTGTATATATGACAATGCACTTACGTCTAGAAAAATGAGTGGAACTGTGCAGATGTGGTAGTACACATCTGTACCTCCAGCATTTGAGAGACTGGGGCAGGAGTGGAGTTCATAGACAGCTTCAGCTATAAAGCAAATCTTTGACCAGCCTGAGGTCTACGAGAGCCTGTTATCAAAATGGCAGCAGCAGCAGCAGCAACACCACCAAATTGGCAGATTTCATAATGCATGCAAAACCACAAACTAAATTTTCAAATGTGAACATCTAACAAAATTTGTGCAGGAAGCCAGAAACACGATGGTTCTCAGTCTCCCGAGTCATCAAGAGAATTAATTGCAAATCCCCACACAGCGAGTGATCTATGCCCTGCCACCTGAGTGGCAAAAATGGAAAACCAAGTGACAAAAATTCAACACACTGGGGGAAATAGGTGGAAGATTCCCAAATTACTGGATTCAGGTGCCCAAAACCACAGTTGAAGGGTTATACTGAGGCCTCAGGGAAACGAGGATCCGGATGGAATGTCCCGTCTCACGGCCTTCGCTGATCATCCTGGGCTCTGGTTACACACCCGTTCAGAAAGTGCTCACCTCCCTAGGGCATAGACACAGTTCTGAAGCTGAGTCTCCGGCATTACTGAGGTCGAGAATCCAAGCAAACTCACCACCTATGGGTAGTTCAAGATTCAAGGAAAACTGCTACGCCTAAGTACCGCTGGGTCCAACATCAATAACTTTAAGGATTCAAGAAAAAAAAATTGCCACCCTTAGGGCCCCCAACATGGTTCAGTTCAAAGACACAAGGAAAACCGTCACCCTCTCAGTAGCTGAGGCCAGGTCCTAGCCTGGTTGAGTTTGAGGACACAAGGAAAACTGCCACCCCGGGGTTGAGACCGAGCCCAACATGGCTGACGCAGAAAAAAAAAAAAAAAGTCTCCGTTTGGAGGATTTATCCTCGCCTGAGGATGAGAAGGTATAGTTAAGTAAGACCCTTTCTTCCCAGTAGAGACTTACACTTGACGGTAGCTGCAAAAGTAGCAGAGGACTCACAGAGAAGACGACTGAGAAACCGCTGAACGGAGAAGTCCGTTGAGCCTCCCCGACTCTCCTCCCACGCAGAGTTCTAGCCTCCTCGAGATTCTGCGTGCATGCGCAGAGAAGGCACGTAGCCTGCGCAAAGTGGTTACTGGTTGGGCAGAACACCTCCACAGATCTCAGGCAGGACCTCACCAGAGGGAAGCCCACACAATTCTACAGAACAGTTGAGAACTGGCAGCTCTAAACAAACACCCCTCATAGGTGTCCTCAAAGAGCCATTATAAATATCCTACGGAACAGACCCATGAGTTGCAGTCCACGCTAAATGAGCTCACCCACGGAATAGTGTATGTATCTCGGCACTGAAATCCTGATGTTGTGGAGCAGGCCTAGTCATTGTGCAGCTGTATGCTGTGTGGTTACTTGGAACTTTGTAGAAACCGGTACTATAAGTACTAGCCACTAGCAAATGCCACCCCCCCCACACACACAGTTTGTCTGGAATGGAAAGAAGTGAAAGGATACTCTTATATTTTGGTTGTGAGCCTAGCCTTTAAAGGCTGAGCCATCTCTCCAGCCCGAAATGAAAGAGTACTAGTCTTACCAGGAATCTGATTAGTGACTGAGATCAGAAAGGAAGTAACTGGCCAGCTACTGCTGCTGGGCTGCTGTCCTCTGCCCCAGTGGGAGACTGACCAGAACTTGTTACACACAAGCCTGGAGATCAGGGAAACTGGCTGCCACCAGCCCAGGAGTCCTCTGTAGACAGGCTTCAGTGGCAATTGCCACAAGAAAGATCTTTAAAGGAGCCACTCTTTCTCACTGAACAGGACAAAAGGGAGCTAGTGAGCAAAATTAGCTCTCATCCTGAGGGATGCACAAAATGCAGCAGACTTAATGAGTGGTGCTCTACAGGTATGTTGAATATATTTTTTTAAGCATTGTTCAAGTTCTCTGCTTCTTTTTTTTCATTTTCTGAAATGAATAGTTGTATCTAATGGTCTCCTACTATTATTGTGGAGTTCTATGTTTCTTCATCATCTCAATTCTTCTTTCATTTAACTTTTTCCCATTTACTGCATGTGTATAATTTTCACATCTTGATGAATTGTCCCATTTATCAATGTAGAAGGTCATTATTTGTTTCATATAACAATTTCTGGGTCCATGCCTTGTATTGTCACGAACCTCATTATTGATCATTTGCACAGAGTAACTGCTTTTACTTTTTCATTTTCAGTCTGCTTGTGGCTTTGAATGTCGCGTGCCCCTTGCACAAAGCATATGGTTACATCATGTCCTTTCAAAATCCATCCTCCCAATAGTCAATAAGCATACTGACATATAATTCTCACATACTGCTATTCATCCATTTTAAGTTACAGTTCAGTGGCTTTTGGTAGCTAACATTTAAAAAATCATTAACTATGTATAACATAAATTTGTTACTTTCACCCATTTTAAGTGTGCAATTCAGTGGCTTTTTGCATTCACAATATTCTATAACCATATCACTCTCTCTAAATTTATTTACCCCACAAAGATAAACTCTGTAATCATTAACTCTACATTATCCTCAATTCCCAAGATTTAACCTAAAACCTAAAGGTAACCTATGCATTTACCTTCACTGAGGATTTCTCTTTCTTTCTGTCAGTTGCTGTCTTTTATGTATGTCTGTTCCTTTCAGCGTGGAGAACACTGATGTTCCAGGCAGTGGATAGTGATGAACTCCCTTATTTTTTTGGTCTATCTGAGAGTGTCTTAAATTCTCCAGCATTACTGAAGGTTTGTTTGTCCTGACTGACAGCACTTCCCTTCCACTGCTTGAATCCACTGCTCTCCTTTCGAGTGCAGTGCTGGGAACAGCACCCAAGGCATTGTGCAGACTAGACAGTTGTCTACCAGAGCTACACACACAACTCCTTTTTAGCATTTTCAATCTTATTATATTGCTTTTTGCCTTCCCAGGCTTCTGATAGGAAACCAAATGTTAAACTTAGGGCGGGTCTCTTGTATGTAACAAAATACTCTGGCGGCCTCCAGAATCTTTTGTCTCTTAATGGTTTTATTATGTCAGTGGCTCTCTGTTTCTCTGCTTTGCACTTCCTTGAGTTAGGTGGGTATACAGATATACATCTGTTAATAAATTTGAGAGTTTGGGACTGCTGGGTCTTTAAATATTTTCTTTACATAGTCTTCACACTGCTTTCTCACCTCTTCTTCTAGGAATCCTATTAATGTACACTAGGGTGGTTTGAATGAGAATGGCCTCATAGGCTCATATATTTGAATACTTGGTCTCCAGTTGGAGGAACTGTTTGGGAAGGATTAGGAGGTGTGGCCTTATTGGATGTGTGTCACTAGGAGTTGACTTTGAGGTTTCCAAAGCCCACACCATTCCAGGTTAGCTCTCTTTGCCTCTTAAGACAGATAAAGACATAAGCTCTCAGCCACTGCTCCAGTGCCATGCCTGTCTGCCTGCTGCCATGCTCCATACCATGATAGTCACGGACTCACCCTCTGAAACTGTAAGCCCCAATAAACACTTTCTTCTATAAGTTGCCTTGGTCACAGGGTTTTGTCACAGCAATAGAAAAGTAACTAAAACATACATATTTTTCAGGCTTGATATGGCCCATGGGGTAAGGTGAGTCTGTCAAATTAATTATTGGTTTTTTGTTTTGTTTTAGTGCTAAGACTTGGAACCCAGGTCTCTTGACAGCTATATCCCTCTGTTATTTTCACTTTTCTTAATACTAGTTTCTTTTATGCTCCTCACATTGGATACTTTCAGTCAACCTATCTTCAAGTCCACAGGTTCTTCTGTCTGCTAAAATCTGTTGTTGAACTCTTTTAGGGAATTTTCCATGTCAGTTTTTATACTTTTCCGGTCCATACTTTCTATTTGCTTTCTCTTTTTGTTAACTTATTCATTATATTTATTTATATACAATCTTCCTGCTTTTATTCAGCCATTTATCCATGTTTTCCTTAAGTTTCTTGATATCTAAGATTTAGAGTGTTTATACATTAAATCCAGTTACTATGCCATTTTCAAAATCATGGGTATATCTTGAAAAGGGTTGGACAAGTGTAGGTTGAAAAACCACAAAGCTCTCCTACTATGTTCTCATGACTCTGCACATTATTCCACTTTCATTTCGGTTATTATAAACCGGAGACAGTACTCCAGTGCCCCACACTAGCAAATAAAAACTCCAGTTCCAGAAATGGGTTGTTGCTGTGTGACAAGACTTTTCCTGGGGAGACACTAAACACATGTCTACTCAGCCCAGACAGGGAGCCAAAGACAGACCAAAGTAGGGATACCACCAAAGTCCAACTAGATGGGCCAATGAGTTTTATTGGGGTTACTTACGGGAATCTGAGTGAGGGGTCACTTACAGGAACTGACTCAAAGACAGCCGCATCACCAAAGTCCACTGGAGCACAGTGACAGCTCACAAAGCTGGGAACCTGGAGCACACTGCACAGTCTGCAGCATCTCAACAAGTTGGAGAGTGTCCTTTCCAAGTGCCTCAGTTGGTCTAAACCTCTTCCAGGCAGCTTCACTGGTTTCTGCTTCTTCCAGGCAGTTGATCTGGTCTCAGGGTCTTCTTAGCAGTTTGTCTTGTCTGAGAGAGACTCTGAAAAGTCTTGTTTACTCTGGCAAGGAGGAGCCTAATAAATCTGATCAGTTTCAGGGACTTCCTGAGCTATTTTTATTTGTTTGCCTTCTCTTAAGGGTTTTCCTGAGTGATGGAATTTTTCAATCTGGAAGGAAACTGATAAACAACAGCTACCTTTTTTTGAGTTGTTGCTCAATGGGGTTACATAGACATCCATGTATTATAGAGTATTGTCAATACTCTTAGCTCTCTCTAGAATTTGATAATAAGATTCTATTGTTAAAGTAAGTCATAGAACATGGAAAAATCAAGCTAGTACTTATTTGGAAGCTTCATCCCTATTGGTTAGCATTCATGGTGCTAGAAGATGCTATGCACATTGCTAGAGGAAAAAAGTCATTCTCAATCTCACTTAGATGCGAACCCTGCAAACTACAACAGGTCTGATAAGATGTGCCCATTGGTGCAATAATGGCATGTTATGGGAGTAGTCAATCACTTTCTGATTGGATCTAAGGCCGCTCTAAGAGAAGTAACCCATACCTGTCACTGTGACTAGATACGTCAGTGTTCTAGAGAAGAAGCTAATACTGTTATTCTCCTAAAAGGGCATAGTATGAAAATTACTCCTAATGACATGCAGGTTGACCAGTTGCGTATCTGTGTGCGAAGTACTATCTACAGCAATTAGCTTCTCTGATGAGAAGTGAGAGATGCACTGATCTATCAGTATAGCATTCATAATTAAGAAGTCTCTGTGCCTTTATTTGGGAGCTGGTTGTTGGCCCAAAGAAAATTCCAACTACAATAGTGTCTAACATTTTTTCTGAAAGGAATGCTAGGACAAGAGACATACAACTAGAAATGTATTAGCAATAAACTTTTGAAAATCAATAAAATGATTTTATTTCATATATGCAAAGTGAAAATCTCTTTGATCACTTACATTTTTTACAAATAAAAACAACAATACTGCTCCATATAAACTTTTATATAAACATCAAAGAAAATATACATATTATTTTTCCTTTTAGTGCTTCCAAAGCACAAAATGTACAAGTCTACCTGAAGACTTTCTGTTGTCACATGCAAGAACAAATGTCAGAGGTTAGTGCAGCCTCAGGTGCACTTTGTAATGTTTCTAGAAAAAATGGAAGAGCACTGGAGGTAGTTTGGTTGGTTACTCTCCCTGCCCCTTCCCAGAGAGAAATAAGTTACCTAAATAGCAGCTTTTTACTCTTTGATTCCAACTATCCTGAATATTGCATGGTTTAAAAGGCACAGCTAGAAATTGGTGAGTGGTGATTACCACTTGGATTCTATATGCTCACTTGTTTTATGGGACACAATAAGGATACTAAGCAGTGGATACTAAGCAGGTGGCCCCTGCCCTCTCTGAAAATGTCTGGAATGGTAACGCTCAAATGAGTGAACTCTGTTAGCTGTAGTAGGAGCAGCAGTGCTTTGTGATTTAACATCACTTTTCCTAGTTGGAAAAATAAAGAAGGAAATTAAAAAAATACTTTCAATTATAAATCTTAAGGCAAAAGCCCAGATTTACTTCCAGATAATCATTAAAATATCTAGTCAAACACTTTTCTTAGCCTGAGTTAGGTCATTTCCTTCACTCAAACATTCTAGTGGGCTTTATTAAGGTCCCATTCCATCCTACAGCACTTGGGAGGCAGAGGCAGAGGCAGGCAAATCTCTGAGTTCAAGGCCAGTCTGGTCTACAGAGTGACATCCAACATCCTACAGTGTTCTTTTTCCTCACTTGTCTTGATATTAACATGATGATCTGCTGTTGATGTGATTCACATTGTTAAGAAGGTAATGGGAATCTATTTTTTCTAGTACCTTCTCAAGGTACTGAATTAAAACTCTTCTTTTAAACCTGAAAATAAAAAGAAATATTATTAACCATCACAAAAGACTTGATAGTGTGTAAGGTGTTGTGCAGCCTGCAACCCAAAGGAAAAAAGTCACCCTCATGGGAAGATACTAACTTACCAAATGTGACACAGACAGATACACACACACACACACACACACACACACACACACACACACACACACACACTAGCTAGGAGTCATGAATCAGGACTCTAGTTGTTGTAATTTAAAAAGCAATGTGTGACGTGAGAGAAAGATGCAACAGAGCTCATGTGGAGGGTTTTTTAGGGGAAAGAGAATGGGAAAAGGGAGGAAGGGAGGAGGGAGATTGGTTTCTGGGGATAGGAGCAGTAAAAGAGAGAAGGGGGCAGAGAGACAGAGAAGCAGAGAGAGAGAGACAGAGAGAGATGGAGAGGTGAGCAGGGCCCTTTTAAAAGTGGGTGTGGTGAATGTACACAGGTGGTGCTCTTAGTGGCTGCAGCTGAAGACATATCCTGTCAGAACCCCAAGGGCAGGCCAGCAGAGATGCCTGAATACTAACACTGGTAGTCCCCATCTCAACACAGTAGTAATCAGCATTAACTATGAGTGAGGAGAAGTGTTTTCTTTCCAGATGAAGACAGAGCCTATCCCCTCTTTGTCTTTTATTGGATCCTACAACTAAAGTAAACAAAACAAAAGAAAAACAGAACCAAAAGCAATTAGAAAACATTTAGAAGTACTATTTATACCCACCTTGCAGCTTCCTTGATAGTAAACTCAACAAACTGTTTCTTCATCTCCAGAGGTCCTTGCACTTCTTCAAGCAAAATGAAAATCCTTTCATACTCTAGTGATATTACAAAATTCAGTGTTATAAAAACATGAATGAGAAATAAAATTCAATCTTTATGAATCCTCTGAAATCATTATTCTTGGGTAGAAAGTCATAAGCATAGCTGTTATGTTAAACACTAAAATCAAAATGTCTACATACATTTATGAAGGAAATTCTTTTAAACAGTACTCAAATGAGGTAAGCTGAATACTGGTTGCCCCAAACTGCCCTAGTCCATGAAGCCTGTGATTTTATTACCATAGATGCTTTATATGCTTATAGAATTAGGTTATGAATATTGAGTTTGTCCAGGTTTATGCTCAGGGGTTCCATGTAACCACAAATATCCTTCAAGATGGAATCAAATGAACATATGATTGCTTCTGGAATAGGGAAAATCAGTTTTCTTTGCGAGTATGGCTCATGGTAGTAGATGGCCTTGCACCTAGGAGTAGTACAAGGTGGATTCAGGTAGTTACTTAAAAAAGAAGAGAGGAAGTTGAGGGGGTAGGAAGTGGGGTAGATTCATGGAGGATTGTGGGTGAATAGGATCAAATATATTATATATAGGTCTCAAAGAATTAATCTAAAAATAGAATCTTTTTTGTTTTTTAAGACAGGATGTCTCTGTGTAGCACTGGCTGTCCTATAACTCTCTCTGTACATCAGACTGGCCTTGAACTCACAGAGATCACCTGCCTCTGCCTCCCAAGTGCTGGGATTAAAGGTGTGCAAAGGGGAAAACAGTGTTCTGCTGCTGACTTGATGCAGGGGGGATGATGGGCACAGCAAAGTGCAGCCAGTCTTCAGAAGCCAGAAAAGGCAAGGAAACAGATTCTGCCTTTATCCCGGAGAAGAAGCATTTGCCTTCACTTTAGTGAAAATATAGTCTGAATATGTAGTCTGAATTGCAAAGCTGTGAAGTAATCAATTTGTGCTGTCTGCTAATGAGATTTCCAGAGATCTACAAGGATAACACCAACTGGCAAACTAAGCGATAGTGGAGAACCTACATTAATAGCCCCTCCCTGATGATAAGGTTGATGATTACCTTATATGCCAAACTAGAACCTTCATCCAGTGACTGATGAAAGCAAAGACAGATACCCACAGCTAAACACTGAACTGAACTCCTGGAACCCAGTGACAGAGAGGGAGGAGTTATGAGCAAAGGGGTCAAGACTGTGCTGGTGAAACCTAAAAAGACAGCTGACCGGACAAGGGGGAGCTCTTGAACCCCAGATTGATGGCTGAGAGGACAACAGGGGACTGATCCAGACTCCATGAATGTAGTGTCAGTGAGGAGGCCTCAGAAATATCTGGGGCTTTGGGTAGTAGATCAGTGTTTACCATGGCATACGAATGAACTTTGGGAGCCCATTCCACATGGAGGGATGCTCTCTCAGCCTGGACACATGGGGAAGGGCCTAGGTCCTGCCCTGGATGAAATGACAGACACTGGAGATCCCCCCAAGGAGGGCCCCACCCTCCCTGGGGAATGATGTGGAGATTGGGTTGGGGGCTGGAGGGGCTGGTGAAGGGACAAGGGAGGAGGGGTAGGAGAGGTAGCTGGGATTGATATGTGAAGCATTCATGTTTCTTTCTTCCTTTCTTCCTTCCTTTCTTTCTTTCTTTCTTTTTTGTTTTTAGAGACAGGGTTTCTCTGTATTGTTTTGGAGGCTGTCCTGGAACTCGCTCCGTAGCCCAGGCTAGCCTTGAACTCACAGAGATCCACCTGCCTCTGCCTCCCAAGTGCTGGCATGCATGTTTCTAAACATATATTGAGAAAAAAAGAAGAAAAATAAAACCCTAAAGCAATGTTGCATGTCTTCAGTATGGCTCTTCTAAATGTATGAAGTTCAGTGAAATGTACAGATTTTTGGTGTGGGCTAGTGTTGTTATGATTGGCTATTTCATTGCTGCTCTTTAATGCTTGTATTTGTGAGCTCATTGCAATTAATTGATATTCATTTAAAATGAAAAACATCACAATAAAAAATTGAGGTGTCTGAAGCTATGGGTCACCCGAGAACTTGTTACAGTAGTAAAATGAAACTACTATAAGTTTAGGCCAGAAGAATCACTTTAAATTATGTAAAAGCCCAAGATTGACCAAAAATGCATGTGCAGACTCTACTCTGGGCCTAAGGATAGAGCTTTGTTGGTAAAGTGTCTGCCCAACAATCACGAGACCCTAGGTTCAATCCTTAGGAGCACCTTGTCTGTGCTACCACATAGTAATGCAAGCACTATGGAGGTAGAGACAGGAAGATTAGACAATTATCACCTGTCTGGACCACATAGAGAGTCCAAGGCCAACCTGAGCTGTATGAGAGACTGTCAAAACCAACAACAAAAACCACTTCGGAATCATACAAGAGGGATCTCCCGTTACTACTTACTTCGTCCAAACTTTCGGACTTCCTTCATCAACTGATGCTTTATGTCAGCATTGATGCCTTGTGCCATCGCAGGAGTGATTTGCATTGAATTTGGCACAGTTTCCAAAGCAGATGCCATTGGGATTTTTCTATCATCTACAGAAAGAGTGCAGGTTTTGGCTCCTCCTAGAAGTATATTATTAGTAGGTTTGTGAATGAGTCCATCTTTCCTGAGGCCAGTAAAATCATCAGATAGAGAATCCAACTGGTTGGACATAAGGCCGTCTCCTGCCACATTCATAAACTCTGCTGGAGCAGATTTTAATAAGAAGCCATCAGCTGGGCTTTGCCCGTTTTCCATCTTGTCTTCATGGATGTCATGAATGGCAGTGGCATCTGGAAAGCAAATGAAGAGGTTGAGCTGTGAAGTGGGCACACCGTGTCAGCCCCACAAGGACATCTCCATGTTCCTCAGTTTCAAGGAAACGATTGCTTTCATTGATGAAGAGGATGGAAAAGACGGAGATCTGAGACTCTTTCCACTAGGAATGCATACACAAATCAACATACCAATAAGTAAGTACTCATAGGTCCCTGGTGCTCAGGGCTTAATGTCACCCTGTATGCTTCAAAATCACACATAAACTACTACCCTTTACTGAGTTTGAATCTCTACAACTTGCGTATACAATATGCTTCCTGTATAAACCAAATATTCTGAGAAAATGCATGCCTATTGGGACTGACTAAACATTCCGTCCTCCCCTGCAAACAACTGCCTATCTGTAGACGAGTCTGTCCATTTCCCTTTTGATGCCAAAGTAATTATTTTTCTAATCTCAGGCCAGCACCTCTGTGTCATTTACTTCTCTTCTGCGGTATCAGGGATCAGGGTAGCAGCTGGGAATCAGCAGTGACCAAGAAACAAAGGAACTTGCTCCTGTCTGTCCTTACAGAACCTGGAGTTTGATGAGGCCATCAGAGAGGTCTACAGAGTGAGCAACAACACACTTGTAACTGCTTTCATTTGAGGAAAGACATAAACAGGGGATGACAGAGGGAGCGTCCAGGGCTGCCAGGTGGTGGCAGGATCTTCTGGGAGATGCTAATTTGTGATGAGGGCAGGAGATACAGGGGAGTAAGCCAGGAGCAGTGGGATGAAGGGTAAGGAGGCTATGGATGGAACTTGATGTAAGAGAGGACTGTGGTGTCAGGCCACGTGAAACTGTGTGGATCATGGTTAAGAGTCATGATGTATCCTGAACGTTAGAAATATGGAGGATGTATTTTCTGTATGGATGTAGCATGCTTCTATTTATCTAATGGCATCTTCACTCTGACTTCAAATTGAGAGAGAAGATGGGTAGAAACTAAACAAGAATGAGAAGCAGAGAGACCACCTAATAATAATAGCTTGGTGAAAATTCATGGAATTGTGGAGTGAAGGAATGGAGAAAGATAATAAAATACAGGGATTAAATTGAACGTCAAATTACTTCATCCTGTTAATGGAAGAAAGAGAATCTTAAAAATCATGGTGATTTTTGAGGTCTGTCACCTGAACCAACTGGATACAGTCATATGTCCAGGAGCCAGCATATTATTGGCTTTGATGATACTCACGATACTCAAAACTTCCTGACTCTGATTCAGTGGATTTAGGTTGATCACTCCGCACCAACAATACAGTGTTAGTTACACTACATTCTAATCTAAGGTTCTTCAACCCTACAGATCCTTAAAGGTGATAGAGATTTTCCTATGGACTGAGGGGTAATATCGTTAACCGCCAAGGATGCCAGCAGAGCTATTCTGGAGAGAGGCAAAGCTACACATTTAGTTGTAGCTTTATTGTCTATTATACTCCAAAATGGAGGCACTGAGTCCATGGTTAAATACAGGGTTGAGAGTAGGGGAATGGATTGTAGACTAAAGGTATATATATATATATATTGGGAGTTGTTCAAATAGAAACCCAATTTAAAGCCCCAAGGCTGCAGGGGACCACTTCAGGAAGAGAGCACAGTTAGAAGAGGTTCAAGGATTGAACTGTGGGGGTCAGTCGTATCTAGCTGTGAGAAAGAAAGGGAGCAAAGAGAAAGGGATGGAAAGGAGTCACTTTTAGAAAGAAAAGAAAACTATGTGTCTGCGAACTCAAGGGCTTCCCTAGAGGAAGACATGAACAACTGAACCAAAAACTATCGAGAAAGAAAGGCAATGTACAGAAAACCCTGGTGATCTTGAGAATTGTCTCAGTGGGGTCAAGGAGGCAGACCCCAGATTTACCAGTTCAATTATGAATAGGAGGTGGCAGTACGGAGAGTCATTGCTGATCCAGCTTCTTAATAGTGAGCCTACTTTACCTCCTTAGAAACTTGGTTTATCTTCCTAACTTCTGAAGTTGATCCAAATGGTTACAGCACACATGCTCATAACTACTTTTTGTACTAGCCTATGTTAATACTTGCTATGCATGTTTTAATCATTAATTATGGCATTAATATCATGTGTTAATTAATAATTATGTATCTTTTTCTTCCACTCATATGGCTAAGATAGCTAAATCAGGGTTTCTGCTCTCCAGAAGGTCTGTTGTGCCTAACATAAGATGCCTTAATAATGATTTACTTAATCAACAAATAAATGAACACAGAAAGCAATACAAAGGCAAAACAAAATTTTTAACGTGTTAATCCTCTAGGAACCATAAAGGAAAGCACAACCACTACTCTATACCTGGATGTACAAGGGTGGGTTTTATGAGGTTTGGACAAGATGGGAACCACGAGGCTGAGAGTGGTCCCTTTCCGCCCACATGGTTAGTTATAGTAGGTGGTGTTTGTGGTTTCCTCAACAGCAGGGACATACTCCGCCTTCTCTTAGATGACATAGGACTGCAGGGTTCTCCAGGACGTTTCACTTTGTTTTGTGGCCCTACTACAAACTCATCTGCTTCATCAATCATCATTCCCTAAAAAACATCAATGAACATGTTTCATTTAAAACAGAAGCTCAAATGTCAAAAAAACCCAAAAACAACAATTTAAGCACTTTTCATATACATACCCCCTGAGCCATGCATCGAATCATCTAGATTAGCTTTAATTATAGTCCCTGTAGCAACTCTGTTATCAGAAAATGCAACCCAATTTTAATCCTATCTAAGTGGAACAAGGAGGAAACTAACATGCAGGTTTTTGTCTAAGGTTAATAGAGAGCCTCAAACCAAACAAGATGAAATAAATCCAGTCATCTTTAAATATCTTCTTAAAACAATTTATGTTGTTTTATGTTGTGTGCACATGTGTGCTTGGATGCACCACATGTGTGTAGGTGCCCAGCAAACCCAGAAGAGGGTCTCAGATCCCCTGGAACTAAAGTTTTAGAAAGTTGTGAGCCACCTAATGTGGGTGCTAGGAATCAAACCCAGTCTTCTGCACGTGCTCTTAACTGCTGAGCTGTCTTTCCAGCAGCCAAGGTCATTCCTCATTCCTTTTTTCCCTTTTTTCTTTCTTTTTTTTCCAAGACAGAGTTTTTCTGTTTAACAGTCCTGGCTGTCCTGGAACTTATCCTGTAGACCAGACTGACCTGGAACTCAAAAGTCACAGAGATCTTCCTGCCTCTGCCTCCTGAGTGCTGGTGTTAAAGGCGTGCGCCACTACCTCCCAGACACAGTCACCCTTTTTAAAGTAATACAAAAACTATCTTTTGTCTGGTGGCGCAAGCCAGGCAGTGGTAGTGAACAACTTTAATCCCAGCACTCAGGAGGCAAAGGCAGGTGGATTTCCGTGAGTTCGAACCAGCCTGTTCTACAGGATAAGTTCCAGGATAGCCAGGGCAATTATACAGAGAAATCCTGTCTCAAAAAACCAAAACAAAACAAGAAACATCTTGCACTAGCCCTTGGTAGGGTTTAAACTCATCATTAAAAACACTGATTATTCCTCTACAGGGTAGTGCATGTAGACGGTGAAAGGCAGGCAAATGTGAAAACATCATTCCCTCAGACACAACCTCAGATATATATCTGTCTACCTTGGTGAGAACAGATGAACACAAAAATCAGCAATACCTTATCTTAGCTAAAAGCTGTGTCATTATAGACAGCTCAAGAATATGGGCATTATTACTTGGAAAAAACATGGCAAAACTATCTTTCTAAAAAATGTTTCCCTTCCATTAACCATGCAAAAAAGATAATGTTTTTACTGAGCATCTACTCTATGCTCTTAATATTCTAAACAGTGTAGGTGTATAACTCAGTATTCTTTACAGTTCTGTCAGTTTGGTGTAATTGTTATCCACAGTGTTACATGAGGAATCAAGGCACAAAACATTCAAAATCTTTAACTATGGATTGGCATGAGCTGGAATTTTTTTAATACAATTTGATGACAAAGAAAGATACGGAATATATCCATAACTTACATCCATGTTTGCCTACAGAAGTGTAGGGATAATCCCATTTCTTTTCATCATTAAAATGATCAAGTCAGTTTGCACCGCGCGCACGCGCACACACACACAGAGAGAGAGAGAGAGAGAGAGAGAGAGAGAGAGAGAGAGAGAGAGAGAGAGAGAGAGGAGAGAACATCGTAGTTCAAGAGATACACACTATAGATATGAATCATGGAAATGGAGGAAATACTTGGTATTCTCTATATTAAAAGAATTAGTGTGTGGTAGTATGAATGAATATAGAATGTGGATCCAGAAATATGTGGCTTTGTCAGCCATCACAGCATTTTGATATCTGACCACTTTAAGCCAAGATTTCTTCTTATTATAGGGTAGATGTGATTTATCTTTCAAAACACTTGTGAGTACAAACAATTATTTAAAACACCAAGTCCCACTATACACTCAACAAATGACAGCTATTGTATTCAATTAACACAACTTACATTAGGAGACTCCATTTCTCACCTACGGAGTCCTAGTGTCATATTTACCTCCGAGTGGAATACATCTGGCTAAAAGGACCAAGTTACAGCAAAAGTATAACAGACTCAGAAATGGGTATACTACCTTCTTATCTTGTTTAAATGGATTGCCGAAAGTATGCAGTCTTTTTGGTTGATCTGGATCAATCTCTCGTAGTGGAGAAGCCAGCATCTTTAGATATTCCTGATAGTTGCCCATTTGTGCAACTGGAACACTATGAAGTGAATCTGTAAAACCAGCAGCAGAGAAACTAATACTTAAAGCTGAAATATATGGCCCTTTTGAAAGGACATTATCATAGCTAGCTCGGCAATGTGTAGCTTAGCACTATAGTCTGGAATCTTGAATCTAGTATTCCAGGATCTATCTAGTGTCATCCTCAGTACCTAGCATCGTCTCCATTTTTACTAATCAGTGGTCTACAATTACTATACTGCCTCCAGGCTCACTTGACAAGAACTAGCAACTCCTTTACTTACTTCCCAACTCCATGTAAAAATGGACTTGTTTCCCGAATACCATCATTTGAATTCAAAACACTGTACATTCTGCATTTTTGTTCTAGTGTTCTGTTTCCAATAAAAAGATTTATTTTCGTTTTATATGTATGGTTTGCCTACATGTAAGTATGTGCACTGCATATAGGCCTGGTATATGCAGAGTCTAGAAGAAGACGTCACATCCCCTGGAACTGAAGTCATGGACAGTTGTGAGTCACCATGTAGGTGCTGGGAACTGAACCAGGGTCTCTTGTAAGAGTAGACACTGCTCTTAAATATTGTGCCACTGCTACAGCCTCTCTGTTTTCTGGAAAAGGTTTTCACTCTGTAGCCCAAACTAGAATCAAGTTTGTCGAATCCTCCTGTCTCGGGCTCTTGAGTGCTGAGCAACTATGCCTAAGCACTCACGGTGTTCTCTCGTCACAAAGGGAGTCTTGGTTAATGAGATTATCATCTAGAGATTTGATTGCATACACTTGGAAAGTTCTCTTCCTAGGAAACCTCTATTCACACACATGAAAGGTATAATAGCAGAGACTTGGCTAGAGTTTGTCCATTTTTTGTGGATAAGTAACCCCATTCAAAATTAACAAGCTAAATAAAGAGCAGTTGCAAACAGCCACAATATTCCCAGACATTATCTAGAGTTCACTGCTTTCATGGGGAATCGGTATTCTCTTCTGACTTTTTCACAGCTGGCTGGTGCAATCAGTGTCTGAGGGTGTAGGTTTGGAAATCTGACATACCTAGGTTCTGCCACTTTGCAATGGGCTAGCCCTGCCTGAGCAAGCTATTAAAATGCTTGCTCTTCATTTCAATGCCTATAAACTGGGCATAAAATCAGTATCTCTCTCCTGAGATTTTGAGGCTTGCAAGAGTGAGCCCACATAACAATGGCAATGGTGGTACAGAATGCTGACTGACACACACCTGCCTTTAAACTGGAGGGAAGAAAACTCGGGAGATGTAGGGCCTGAGTGACTATGAGCATTGTGAACATTAACACATTACAAAATAATTCTGCAATGAAGTCTTTCATGTAAGTCGTATCTGCTATTCTCCTAAAGAAAAGCAGTCCACGATTGAGTTACCTTCATCTTGTCCAACAATAAACTTCCGTGTTTTCAGTAGATTGGATCTCATTCTGGTCAACTGGTCTAAAAGTCCTCTACGTGGAATATCATAAGCATTTCTGTATGTCTGAGGTTTCAAATCCTAATTTAAATGAAGCAATCTCAGTTACTCCTAAGGCTTTTAAAATCTTGCTGAAGAGAACTATATTTCATACAACCAATTACAACTAATTTCTCTAGTAGAAAACTTCTATTTATTGTTCTGAATGTTAACATACCCTTAAGTCATTAAAGTCACTGGGGATATACTTTTCAAGTCCATCATTTAAAACTCTAAATTCCAAGATTTATATATACAACTGTATCTGTCTTGCTTGTAACCTAGATTTAGTCCCCTAGCAGGCAGGGAGGTGGGCTGCAGCAATCTCACGTCACGATGGGAACTGCTGACTGCACATGAAGTGACATTGGCTGAGGGCCTAGCTGCAGTGCCCTTGGAGTCTGCTGCAGCCCTGGTCTGGCTCAGGCATTCTCTAAACTGCACAGCGCTTCCTCATCCCCATACTACTTGCTGCTACTCTGTCATAGGTGCTAGCTCTACATGGCAGCCTGCCTACTGCAGTTTCCTTTCCATTTTACTGTTGACAGCTGTTTGGTGCTCATTTCTACCAACCAACGTATCATGTCCATTTAATCTCATCTTGGTATCTGCTGGCAGAATAATCTCAAAATGGCCTCACTAATAATTAGTAACTCCAAGCTGTGCATGGTGGTGCATGCCTTTAATCCCAGCACAGGCAGAGGCAGGCAGGCCTCTGAGTACAAGGCCAGCCTAATCTACAAAGCTAGTTCCAGGACAGACAGGGCTACACAGAGAAACACTATCTCTAAAAACCAAAATAATACTATTACTACTGCTACTACTAACAATAACAACTCCAAAATAGGCCATTGTTTCAAAACTAAAGCAACACAAACAACAAACATACCAGGAAAAGTCAGATAAACATGCCTGTTCATTGCACAACTTACCTTGTTGAAGAGCCCTATTTGGAAGCCAGCAAATTCTTTGGTATTCAATTCTGTCAGTCTTGGTGCACTTTCCCCTATGATTTCTTTCAACAGCTTTCTAAAGTTTTTATTGTGAGCCAAGGGCAAGCCACCTCCAGAATGGTTTTTCACTTTGATACCAATCTCCTGGGGGGGCTTCTTCCCCACTGATGCTAGTATTCGCTCTGACTCTAGTTTGGTCTAAAATGAAAGGACAGAATATGTTATCCGAGTATCTACTATACCATCATTTTATTATTTAAGAAAATACTTTAAGAGCCCCACTGAACACTTTTCATGTGCAAATCACAAAAAACAGTTAAGTGAATATTTCCCTATGCAAACACAGAGGGGACTGGAAAGACAAACGACTTCATGCATGTTTTCTTTTGTAGTGTCAAAACTATGAACAAATCATGGAGAAAATAGAAACCATGGGCAAGGATTTCACTCATAGACATGAAAAAGTGCATATTGTTACTGCAAAATCTAATCTAAATCAACACATTCAGTTTGGATCCAGACATAAAACTCTGTATTCATACATGTAAATTATTACTTTAATTCAGATCATATAGACTGGCATTATATTTGAAAACATAAAAATAATTTTTTTAAAAAAATGTGATTATCCAATAAATCTTATAAATGTAAAGCTTACATTAAAATATTACTAAGCAAATACTTTTTAATGTCTACTCAATAATTTTATCACCAAACATTGGGAAGTCCCCTTAATAAACATTGTATCAATTCATTTTGCTTGAATGATTTAAAGCATGGTATTTGGCATATTTTGAGCTTTAGATACATCTGAGATGGTTCAAGGAACACTGGTGACATATTAAATTAACAATTAGAGAAATAGAAATTAGTAACAATCGCTTCTTTTTCTAAAAAATTCAATCAATGTTCAGTAAGCCCCCAATAATTCTTTTATTTCTAATGGATTGGCCAGAGATATTTATTTTCCCTAATTATTTGGAATACATACATACATGCATGTATATATAAATATGCTTAAGAAAATTCTTGAGTCACGAAATGAGAGAAAAGTAGATAAAGGGTCTGTTTCTTTGAATGGCCTTGAAAGCACATTCAGTTAGAGAACACAGTGTGTCCCAGGAGGTCCCAGCACTTGCAGTAGTTTCAACTCTCTTCACTTTTCTTTCATTGTGGCCATACCCTGACAAAGCCGTAAGGGCCAAAAAGAAAATCAAATTAAAAAAATAGATCAATAAAGATAAATAACCAAGGTGTTTGCAACAACAACAACAAAAATCTATTAGCAGAGAGGAGTGTGGGTTAGGGGACTTGTCAGGTCAAAAATCTGGGCTTGCCTTTATTCTCTTTTGCACTTACAAGCACGCTAGACTAGCATGCCTTTGTGAGCTTTAGAATGGCTTTACATTTTTGCTCATTCCTAGCAAGGCATGCCAGCACCCCAATTGTGGAGTCCTATAGGTCCTTAGTAAAATCTGACACTTTGCTTAGCACCCGGTTTTCTTAAGGCCAAATTTGCAAACATACTCAGCTTGAAATGCTGTAGTTGCTGCGCATGCTGCTTCCTACCTAAACATGTATTTGTGGATAAGAGCGCAAAGCCGCTGCACTAATTTATCACACAACACAACTGTATGTCAGTAGCACTCTAACTGGGTAGTTTCTCAGACATCTCCATCGTACAAGAATGGTCTAGTTCAAAGTGAGAAATATGATAAGGAGGGGTGAGTGGAAGATGAGGTTCCAATAGAGAGGGCCAGGCAAGGGACAAGGTGGAGATGGTGAATGAGGTGGGCTCTAAAGGAATAGATGGAGGGCAAGAGAGGAGGAAGAATTCACTCTCCAGGGCCCCTTGGGGTCTATCACCCTCCAGGTGGAAGAATACGAGTCTCATGCCCCCCTTCTCCAGGGACAAGCAGGCAGCTTTATCCAAGGGCTAGCATGTGAGTATAAGAACTTAACATGCCCCCTGAAAAGCGATTTCAGGCAAGGGCTAGTGAATGACACCAGACCTTGGCATGCTGACTCACAAAACGGGGATGCTCTAGCCAAGTGAATTGAGGAGAAACTAGTTGGAGGACAGACAAAATGTGACCCACAAGAGAATCCTATGAAGCCTCTGCCCCTCTTAGGCCACAGAATATCAGCCAGCATGTGGGCAGAACAAACTGGCAGGCAGAAGGAGAAATGGCACAGCATCAAATGATACTGACAGACCCTTAACTGCATTTAATGGTGAAGCTAGAAGCCATAGAGAATCACATCATTACTAATCCATAAAGTGTAGAGATATATACACATTTAGTTTGAAAAGTTACAATTACACTAAAGAATAAGGAAATGCACTTCTGAGGGCAAAGGATTTTGGTTTGTTTGTTTTTACCAATACTACCTGTTGGCTGAGTTTTTTAAGGTAAGAGATAACACTGTAACTAAGTCCACAATCTAAATTATCTGATATCAGATTTGGAGCTCCCATCATCCTTAGTGCTTTCTTTAATGGCTATAAGGAAACAAAATACACAACAGTAAGAATAGAATAAATCTTAAATACTCAAAAGTTCAGTTATAAGGGGCAAGGGGACATGATTCATTTCTTAGAAGTCAAGGTGCTGCACATAAAACCAAACATGGAACATTAAAAAGTGGCAATGAAAATAGCAGAGAAGTAAAGAGCAGAAAAAAAATCAGAGGAGAGTGGGTAAGAAGAGCAAGTAGCAGCCAATTGAAACAAGTACATTGCTTTCAGTCTTAATCCCCATCATTGAATGTCTGCCCACTGCATGACTGCAGAGTCCACACTTGCCATGGCAAATACCAACACAGCCCACTTTCTCCTCCCAGCAACACCAATGGTCCCCTTGAAGACTGCCTTTTCACCTCTAGAAACTTGGCATCAACTTAAGACAGCAACCCCTGAAATGGTCTTGATCATCTTGATTAGGATTGCACGACCAGTTCAGAGTCATTAGGCATTGTTTTCTCGAAGTATACAAAAATAGAAGAGGCCAAGTCATGTTCTCTTCTCCTTGGATCCTCTCTAATACCAATGCCTCCACATCATGTTATATCAAGGTTGCATTTAACCAGCAATAAAGAATTATAATTTCTTGCGAGTTTTGTTTATGGACTGAAACATCACATTGAGTTTCTAGAGTTCAAAAGGGAAGTTGATGTAACATGAATTGAGACGTATTTATCCTTACATTCCAGAATTACAATTTTATAGGGTTAGTTTTAATAAGAGAAACATAGATGCGTTTATAACAATGACCATGGCAGTTAAAAATAAAGGAAACAGAAAGACAATGCTCGTTTGTGTCATCATGTCATCTGCAAACTCTTACATATGGCTTGAGAAGACAGTGATGACACAAATGTTTGTAAAGTAAAAGGAGTTATCTTCTTGTAGGGGTAAAACTTGATTCCTTATTCCTTATGACAAGAATCATCAGTGACAGTTTATACGTATATATACACACAAAAAATACATACTATTAAGTAGTATGGAGGCAGAGTTTTTAAGTAGCTGTCAAAAGCCTGTCGCCACTTCAGATTTGGCTTAAGCTTGTGAACTTTAAACAAGTCATCTGTAACACAAAACCAAGTAATCATGTTAGTCCAGAACCAGCTTGCAAGATCTAAAATCAGGCAACTAACATCTAGAAATCAGATTTGATTCAGGTTAGATGAACATTTCATGGCAGCTTATCTAAACCATCCTTCCTAGTTGTTGTACCTACCAAAGTTCCATATAGATGTTCTCCAACTTACAATAGTTCAATTGAAGACTTTTTTTAAACTTAAAGATGGTGGGAAGCTGGGCAGTGGCGCACACCTTTAATCCCATCACTTGGGAGGCAGAGGCAAGAGGATCTCTGTGAGTTCAAGGCCAGCCTGGTCTACATAGTGAGTAGTGAGTTCCAGGAACAGCCAGGACTGTTACACGGAGAAACCCTGTCTCAAAAAAATGAGAGAGAGAGAGAGAGAGAGAGAGAGAGAGAGAGAGAGAGAGAGAGAGAGAGAGAGAGAGAGAGAGAGAGAGAGAGAGAGAGAGAGAGAGCTGGTAGGAAAGTAATATATATTCAACAGCAACTACATTTTAACTTCTAAGTTGTGATCTTTTCTCAGCCTAATGATGAACAGTACAGAGCATTGTCCCAATGCTAGGCAGCAGGAGTAACCCACAGTTCCCACTCAGCCCCATGAATCATGATGGGGGAAACGAGAGACATTGTGAGGTGTGCCCTGGTGCTAACCTGAGATGATCTGGAGGTGAAGGGTAGTATAGGCATTTTGAACTTAAAACTTGATTTAGTAGATTTAATTCTATTATAAGTCACAAAGCGTATCTATTGTGCCTTTTAGAAAATGAAGTAAAATTTCAACTTGTGCATCCATTTGCAAAGCTATACGGCATAATATTTAAAACACTGATTTAGATTCACTTGAAGTATTTTCCTGATATGTTATGTATTAGTCATTCTAACATAATAATTTTCAACTGGGGGATTCATATCACTGGTGGACAGACTAGTATTTCTTTGGTTTAAAAACAAAGGATAGGCCAGACATGGTGGTAAATGTCTTTAATCCTAGCATTTACGAGGCAGAGACAAACAGATCTCTGATTTCGAGGCTACATGGAGAAATCCTGTCTCAAAAAGCCAAATCAACCAACCAAACAAACAACATAGAGTATAGGGGCCGGCAAGATGGCTCAGCAGGTAAGGGTGCTTGCAGCCAAGGCTCCCAACCTTAGTTCCAGCCCTCAGACCCACACGGCAGAAGGAAGAGAACAGATTCTTCTGACTTTCACATACATGCCATGGCATGTACACCCTTCCTCTCTTCTTGTTTCTTTTTTTTTTTTGAGCAAGGGTCTTAATATGTAGCCTAGATAAGCTTGAAATATACTATGTCTTCAGGCTTGACTCACTCATAATCTTTCTGCCTCAGCCACCCAATTGCTGGGATTATAGCCACGCACACTACATCTGGCTTAAAATGTCTCTTGCACACCATGTACACCAACATACTTAAGATATTCACCTTAAATATGCAGACATCCCCGATTTTAATATATAATGACTTTAGTAATATACACATTATACATATGGTGTGAAAACTTCCAAACACCCTCTTATTTCCTTCCAAGTTTGAAAAAACATTTGTAATTTAATAATTCAAACTGGTATTCCCAGGTACCAACATCTACCTGTCACCCATGCTGTAAAGACATTGGTGACAGTATCAGTTCATCCTCTATTGTTCTTTTAAGCTTCATTAGGCAAATAGTTTACTTACAGAGGGAAAATACAGACATTCTCTACAATTAGGTCTATTCTTTAAAAAGTACTTTGGTCAAGAAAAGCAACTAGTTATTTCCTTCTCCTTGTTGCCCTAATAAATTATTTACTTGCCGGGCATTGGTGGCACACGCCTTTGATCCCAGCACTCGGGAGGCAGAGGCAGGCGGATCTCTGTGAGTTCGAGGCCAGCCTGATCTACAGACCGAGTTCCAGGACAGCCTCCAAAACAATACAGAGAAACCCTGTCTCGAAAAACCAAAAAAAAATTATTTACTCACAGAGAAACAAATTTCAGTAAATTTACAGAGCCACAAAAACCAGGTCTTTTGTTCTTTTTTGGTATTTTTTTTTGCAGAAAAAATGAAAGAGAGGGCTGGAGGGATAGCTCAGCTGTTAAACACTAGGCTCACAACCAAAAATGTAAGAAAAAAGAAAGAGATCAGAAGGTGTCCTTGATTGAAGACCTCGGGTCCTTTACAGACCATTCATGTCTTGACAGGAAGCAATGAAACACTATGCTATACTGTGCTAGTTCTTGAAGTCTTTTGGGAATTAGTTAGAGGTTTGAAAGGTCTGCAAGAACTGGGATGTAGCTCAGTGGTATAGCGCTTGCCTAGTCTGTGAAAGGGCTTGCTTTCATCCCCAGCACTGGACAAAATCAGCTTCTAGGCAAAGTATTTGTCATTGTTAAAAGCAGTAAGGATGGGGCTGGAGAGATGTCTCAGTGATGAAGATCACTAACTAGCTTCTGTTCCAGAGGACCCAGGTTCGAGCCTCAGCTCCTAACAGTATACAACTTTCTATAACTCCAGTTCTGGGGGAATCTGAAGTTCTCTTGGCTTCTGTAGACATTAGGCATATACATGGTACATAGACATACTTGCAGGCAAAACACCTCTATGCATAAAATAATAAATTCTTTAAAAGAAAAGAAAAACTAAGGGTATTACTTACTCTGTTTATCTGATTTGTTTCTATCTAAAGTCTCTCTACTATTTACATCCTTGTCTATGTAGAGAGTGTGAGGCCAGCTGGCAATACACAAGACTATAAGATAGACAAGTATGTAAGTATGGTCATGAATTATTTGTCTTTCTGCATCTCCTTTGTTTCCTATAGCATAATATCCACCAGCACAGTGCCAATAGTTAGCAATGTGTTCTGTATATAGAAATTTTACACAGGGAGTAGATTTTATGGTATATACTTTCATTATAAAAATAATAAAAAGGAAACTCTTGAAAGACATGAGTAGGGCATGTTTAAGGCATAAATTGTAGATGTTTCATTGGCATACACTCATGAGTGCTTGAGATTAAATATGCCAATTCTAGTGCAATAAAGTGGGTCAAAAGTACACTTAAGGCCGGGAGTTGGTGCCCACGCCTTTGATCCCAGCACTTGGGAGGCAGAGGCCGGCGGATCTCTGTGAGTTCTAGGATAGCCTGGTCTACAGAGCAAGTTCCAGGACAGCCTCCAAAACAATACAGAGAAACCATGTCTCGGAAAACCAAAAAAAAAAAAAAGTACACTTAAATAGAGAAAAATAACAGCAGTCTAAATGAAAATTACTCTATTTTCTTTACTATATATTTGTTGAAATTGAGGTCATAAGGACATATTTAAGAAAATGGGTAGATTGATATATAAAATAGATATATTTTATTATTATTTAAGAAATATGTATTTATTCCTATTTATATGTATGGCTGTTTTGTCAGCATGTATGCCAGTGCATTGTGTTCATGCAGTGCTTTCAAAGGCCAGTAGAGGGTGCCATATTCCCTGGAACGGGCGTTCTAGGTAGTTATAAACTTGTGAACCTGTCTCTCTCTCTTTTTTAATATATATTTTTTATTTTTAAATTTAAATTAGAAAAAAGGTTGCTTCACATGTCAATTCCAGGTCCCGAACCTGTGTCTCTTAAAGGCTGAACCATGTCAGCAGCCCCTCTATTGGTAATCTTACTGTCCTCTAACACATAGCCTATACATTCTACTCGTAGTAACTCTCACAAAGAACATAGGTTCAGACTGGACTAAGAAATAAAGTACCTACTACAAACAAAGCAACCATGCTGATATACTTATGGTGACCTACTTTTAAATTTCTTAAATATGAACAAAGAAAGTAAAGTACTGTCTTGTAAATATATCATAATTAATAGTAGCACTATGATGAAATTCTGTAAATTTTTCATCTTTTAAGCAAAAATTTAGAAAACCTTGCCCAAAAAACCTCAAAGCTTTACAACTATATTATTCTATATTAGTCTAAAAAGATACAGCTTTTCAAACAAAAAGTAAATATTTCCATATACATTTTCAACAGCATTGAGTAATGGCTACTTAAGTTTTTTCCTTTAGAATTTTGTCATAGAATCAATCCATAACCTCTAACCCTGCTATTGTAGAATTGACTCTTGTACCTTAATTCCCCACCCTACTGAAAACATATGCTTTTAGGGTAACTAATATTCTGGAGAAAAATGAGTGTAACTCAGTCAGTACCCTCACAGAAGCCCTAGTTTCTGAAGAAAGCCATCAAATTCCTCTCCAACAAAATCCATAGTTTGGGAGATGGAGAGAGGGATCATCCGGGAAAGTGCTCACTGTTAAAGCTTGTTCCAAACAGACCAAGACACTGGTCTCAAAACTCAAAGTAAAAAGTGATTCATAAAGATATCTGACATCAACCTATGGCCTTCACACATGCATACACACATGCTCATGTTAAACACACACACACACACAATCTAGTTTTCTGGAGGCATTCAAATTCATCTAAAAAAAGCCAATATTCTTTCAAAAATGGAGAATGGAGGGTGATTAATGGAGTTTTGCAATTTGCAGAACACCAAAGATCAGATATCTCTTCTGTTTGATGTACAAGCAGAGAGAGACAGAGAGAGAGGAAGAGAAAGAAAATGAAGTCCAATCTTTCCAAATCAGTTTTTACACATTTATTTACTCTAATATTGCTTAGTCTTCAATGGAATTTGAAAGCTTATTAATCTTTTATCTACCAAGTATTTTTGCCATGTTTTAAAGAGGATTAAGTAGCACATAATTTACTCACCTAAAAGAGGAAGTAAAACTGGGTAGTTGTAAGGCATCACAAAGAGGTTTACACAAGTTAAAGTCGTACTAGCTTTTAAATAACCAAATGGATATCCAAGCTCATTGTATTTTCCACTGCTGGTGACAAACACCTAAGAGGAACATGAAGCAATGTACAGTTATGACAACATGTTATGTAAAGCCTAACTTGTAGCAATACTCCACAGCAGCATCTGTGGCACAACAATTCAAAAAATAGACTAGGTACTTTTGCATAGGGTTATGTAAAAATAACATGCTAAATATGCATATTCAAATTATAGGTATTCCACAACTATATGACAAATTAAACTAGATAATGCAATCATCACTCAGAGGCCACAGGAAGCATCAACAACACCCAGAAGTTCACTTCATTAGTATAATGGAAAATGATGCTGCAATCGTTTTAAGTATGCCAACTTCCCAAAAGAACAAGGCATTGTTACATTAGACTTAGAAAAACAGGAATATGGTTCCATAACCAAAGCTATTTAAAAGACTATGAAAACGGTCCTCACGCATATTATAAGCCATGCTGTTTCCTCATTTATTCATTTTTCACTCAATAAACAATTAGAGAGTAACCCATTATGAAACTCAGAAACTCTCTGTGGCAGCAAGGAGGTGCTTCACTTCAATCTGGAATGCACTTTCTTGGCTACATCATCTTAAAGGCTAGAACCCTGGGGGCATTCGCATAACTAACTGTCTTCTGATTCTTTATTGGTACTCCTGGGTTGGTATGTATTATTTATCAGCTTCCACACACTTGATATGCTGGGGTTCTCCAGGCACCATGTCGTCTCTGTGTTCTTGTTCCTGCAACCCTCAGGAGGAAACCTTCCTCTAATTTCTGACACACTAAGTTAATTTTAGCTGTCTGAATACAGAAAAATACAAGATACAATATGTAATCTTTTTTGTTTGGCTTCTGTTCAATACTACAGTTTTTAATTTTTTAAAAATTTCTTTTCTTTTTGAACCAGGGTTTCTCTGTGTTACAGTCCTGGTTGTGCTGGAACTTGGTCTGCAGACCAGGGTTCTCTTGAACTCACAGAGATCCACCTGCCCCTGCCTCCCAATTGCTGGGATTAAAGACATATGCCACCAGCACCCTGTAGTTTTGAAATTGTGTTTCTTATGTCTTTTACATCTTTGATTCAAGTTTGCTCCTTTTCTTTTGAACAAGCCATGGCATCTTGAGAGAATTAAAGTAGTTTATAGACACTGTGTATCAGTAATCTCACATTTTAGAATAAAACAGATGAGTGTCTGAAAGTGTTTCCTGTGTCAACAGAACCTAGGAATTACTGGATGGTCCTATAGTTTCGTAATAGAACAACTTTTTATATTCAACTAGAAAAGCTATGACTGTCAAGTTTAGAATTTTACAAGTAAAATTCCATAGGAAACTATATTAAGCAATGAGCAAGTCTTTCTAACTGCAGCACAGCACTTAGAAGAAGAATGGGATCTGTGCACTTGCCTCATCTAAGTAAAATCCCAGTCTACACATCGATGGGGCTTGGACCAAAGAAACTAGAGTTTTATTGCATTATTCTCACATAGAAAGTAATTTCAAGTTTCTGGTTCTTGGCCCAAAATATGCAGGACTTCTCTTTGTCAAGTTCATAATAAGAGCTGAGAGTCTTGCTCATACCTGAACTGAATCATACCCCATAGTTTAATGATTCTTAACCTGGGGAACAGATAAGAACGGGTCTCCCCTATCCTAAATCCTCAAATGCATGTTTCGTTAGATTCTACTTCCATAAATGGAAATGTACAGTACGTTAATGTTTCATACCTTTCTAAAATTATTTTTTGGCTATGTTGTTTATTTGATAGCATTTAAAATAGCATAATTATTACCAAAATTGAAAGTTTTTAAAATAATGTTTGTAAAGACTTTAAAGTTTTTATTTTTTAATATTTTTATTTTATGTGTATGAGTCTTTTGCCACTATGTACATATATACAGGCATGCATGCATACCTGGTGCTTATGGAGGCCACAAGAGGGCATCGAATCCCTGGAACTCGAGTTAGAGATAGCTGTGACATGGGACATGCCACATGGATGCTTAAAACTGAACCTGGATCCTCCAAAAGAGCATTAAGTGTTGTTAACCGCTGAGCCATCTCAGAGCCTTATTTTTGTTTTGAATTATGTATGTAGGGGTATGTGCATGTGTGTGGTGTCCACAAAGGCTAGAAAGATGGCATCAGATCATCTGGAGGTAGAGCTGCAGGAGGCTGTGAGCCACCTGATGTGAATAATGGAACTGAATTTAGGGTCTCTGTAAAGTTAGTGTGCATTTTTGTTTGTTTTGGCTTTTCGAGAAACGGTTGTTATGTGTAGTCCTGGTTCCCTGGAACTCAAGTCTGTAAACCAGGCTGGCCTTGAACTCAGGGATCTGCCTGCCTCAGACTGTCAAGTGCTGGGATTAAAGGCATGGACTACCACACCTGGCTAGTATGCATTCTTAACCACTATCACTAGACTCCTAATTCAGAACCAATTCCCCGATCACAGAATGATTACAAACATTTGGCTACTAGGCAATGATAGGTACCTGCCAGCAAGTATGAGGAGATTTTCTTTCCAAGATGTACTGAGTTAAGGGAGAGGGTTCAAGTTCATATTTGTCGAAGGGCAGTTTATCTATAACCATTGGTTCACAATCGATACAGGAAAACCTCACAACAGGATGAGATGTTCGTGGAGGCTAAAAAAAAAAAAGTAGGGAATATGATTGGATATTAAGCAAGTTCACAATTTTCTGACCATTCTAAAAGCTCTGTTACATTTTTGTCAAACCATCATTAAGACACAGATAGTATCTGAAGAGTTTCTAGAGCTTTAAGACTCACCATGGGGGTGGTGAGTCAAGTTCTTCACCCCTAACCTCTATTTAGGATTGGGAAGAGGGATGATAAGATAATGCAGAGCTAGAATTTCAGTAGAATAATAACTGCATTAATTATGTTAAAGTAACCGGTATAATCCCCAGGATAAACTCTCACTTTCAAATCCACTTTGTGACCTTTAAGCATTCCCTGTGCACCAGTCTTCTGTATGGGGTGAGATCATCGAGATACCACTGGACAAGGAGAATCTTTGAACTTTTCTAATGAGCTCAAGCTACTAAGAAGAAAAAGGAAAAACAGCCAAGGCATGGAAGTGTAAGATACACACTGATAATGATTTGGTCACAACTACAGGGCCTTAAAGGAATTTTATAGCACTGCTCATACCCACATGTTTGTTTTGAATAGCTGAAGCTGAGAGAGTTTTGGTGAGACTTCAAAGGCCTATGTGTTTGGGATACCACAGTAGATCAGTGGGGAAGCAATTTGGTCACCAGGTGTGTATAACTAGAAAACAGCACAGAGAGCAAGGAGGACAGCGATAGCTGAGACATGTGGGAGGCCAATACACACGTGATGAAAATGGCTGACTTCCTTTATAAAGGGGAAGCAAATGCATTTGGCTTTATCATTTATAAACGTGTAAGATGTTCGAGTAAAAATGGCTATCCAGTGAACTTCTACATGTGGAGAAATGGAAACACAAACTATGTATAAATTACTGGAATTTCCATAATTCTAGCTTTCCCTTATTTCGGTTTTAATCAGTCTTGTGAATTGTTTCTGATTCCTTAGATCTGACTATCTAAAAAAAGCTAATAAACACCGAAGTGAAACCCTATAACTAGCAATAATGTAATAAATCTGTCACTAAAGGGGTTTGAAGGGGCTATGAGCTGACAGGTTTGCCACCTTGGAACCCTGGGGGAGAGAAGAGGAATATTTTCCCTCACCCACAGAAGGGGGCTAAAAGGTGCCTGGTTCTTTGAGCCTTCCTTGGAACCCTGGGGGAGAGAAGAGGAATATTTTCCCTCACCCACAGAAGGGGGCTAAAAGGTGCCTGGTTCTTTGAGCCTTCCATGACTACTCCTGCAAATATAAGAACCTAAACTGGTAGCCTGGAAGAAAATGCAGTTTAATGTGGAAATTTCTAGAACCTAAAATATAAGTTAACCTGAATCAGGCAAGTAGTACATGAGAGGAGCAACGATATATTTGTATTCCCCATCCCTAGCCCCAAATCACACATGAACTACTCAGGCTTTCCTTCCTTAAGGATAGTGTTTCCTACAACCTTCTGTTTTTCCTAAACACTATCCCCCCAAAAAACCAACTCTCTGGTGCTAAGAGTAACTATAGCATCCAAACCTCTTTTACCAAATGCAGATACCAAAAGACAAACCTTTGCTCTGGGATAATTTTTGAGCACTACATGATTACTAATCATTGATAAGTAAAATGGTTCACCAGGGCATGACTATAGGTAATTGGGAAGCCGAGTGAGAAGAACTGTGAGTGAGTTCAAAGCCAGCCTGAGCTACAATGTGAGAATTCATATGATACAGAAATGCATTGATTAAAAATATGGAATCAACACATGTCTATCCATAGATGAATAAATGATGAAAACAGACATATACATAATGGAATTTCAGCCATAAAAATAAATTTGTCAAATTTGTAGGCTAACAGGTGCAACTCAAAAACATTTTATTAAGCAAGGTAACTCAGGCTCAGAAAGACATATGTTCTCTCATGTGTGGATCCTAGTTTGTAATGGTTAAATATGTATATCTAGGTGGGAGAAAAGGTAGGTACAGGCCAGGAAACTAGAAGGGACCATCAGATGGGGAAAAAGAGGTTTTAAAGAAGTGAGGTAGAGAAGGCAGCAGAATCCATGAGTTATTCAAATAGAAGAGGGCAAGAGGCTAACATGGGGAAGGGCAAGAGGCTAACATGGGGAAGGGCAAGAGGCTAACATGGGGAAGGGCAAGAGGCTAACATGGGGAAGGGCAAAGGGATGCTGAGGAGGACAGCAAGACTCAATCAAAATGAAGCATGCATGAAAACACCATAAAAACGGTTACTTTGTAAGCTAGTTTTGAAAACCCAATAATATAAGGTGACTGAAAGGAAATACCAAGTAAGAAATGAAAGTGTATCTACATAGAACGGCACATATTTTTATCTGCACTTCCTTTCAAGGGCAGTAGACAGCTATTTGCTTACCTTCTTCTCTTACTTTCATCCTTGAGAGCAGCTACCAACTGTGATTTTTACATTTTCATGCCTTAAAACAATATTTTCTGTATAAACTAGCCTTCCATTCTATTGTCCACAATAAAAATAATGACTTATTCAGTACAGGGCTGTAGCTGCCTAGAACATGTGAAGCCCTAAGTTCACCTCCCAATATTGCCATGAAAAATAAACAAAACAAGCAAACAACACATAAATAAATAGATGAATAGATAAATAAAATGGATGTTCCTTGGGAAAATGTATCCTTTTGGAGGGAGAAAACATTAGAATAATGCACTCCTAATTTGCTTTAAAACACATCAAAATAGCCATATTCAAAATAACTTCCTATATAAATTATAAAAATATTTCAACCTTTCGTTACACGCACACACTAAATAAATATAAAATAAATAAATAAAAGCAACGCTTTAATACTCATATGGCAAAGGCAATAGTACAAAAGACTAAAAAGTATGATAAAATAAAGGACACTCTCCTCTACTGCTTTGGGGTATTGAACTAGCCCCTTCAATAAAAGATGAAAAACAAAACAGTTTAAAAGCCTCAAGTTACTTTAAAAACTTCACTGTCATATAATTAAAAACCCAGATGACTGTTTACCCTCTTCATTTATAATACTTACTAGAGAAGGTAAATTCTGTTCTGGCCAGAAAGATTCTGGAATTGGCCAGTGTCCAACAGGAACACCAGTTTTAGAATTAGGTCGTACGTAGATGAGTTTATGACAACTATGCCAGGGTTGAGCAGCAAATAAGTTGCTTGGCCTACACAAATCCATCAGTCCATCTAAAAGAGAAATACATGACAGAAGGCATGGAAGACATGTCTGTTTTTACAGTTATTAATTTCTTGTACATAATTTTCAGTTTCAAGCAAATGACAAACTAAAACAAAAAATATGGTTTATGAAAAATGAAAGAAGAAAAAGGCAGTGACAGTTCATGGGTTTCTGTTCTCTCTCTTAAGACAATTTGAATCTAACTTGCCATTTAACTTAATGCTTCCCACTAGTCTTGTATTTTTTTGGTTGTGAGCCTAGCCTTTAACGGCTGAGCCATCTCTCCAGCCCGCCTCCAACTATTCTTAATGTACTATGAGAATATGAAATTATGTGGAAAACTAGCGCAAAACTAGTTTTACATTTTATGAGACTTGGGCACATAAATTAAGCACATCACAATGGTCTTTCTTCAAACAAATTTTAGGCAAATGAAACCATTTGTTCCCTGGTATAGTCTTTACATTTTTGGCATTTGGCAAAATAGATCATAAATTCCACTTATAATTGTCCTCTACACCCAATGACCCCCAAAACAAAGCACACTTGAAACTTGAGAACATGTTAAGTGGCATAATCTGTGTATACATAGGGGTGGGGAATATAAAGCAAATGGCTCAAGGTTGTGGGTGGATATTCACCCCATTTTCATATAATCTGGCCACATAATAATATACCATTAGTGCATTTTAATTATTTAAATTAGCTTATTTCTTTTGCATCCCCAAACAAAAACAAAATCCCTTATGCCATAATTTGCTAGTCTACATTAAAATTTGGAAGGACATTTTTTGCTATTTGGGTATCATTTTTCTTAAATTACGGAAGACTTGATTTACTTATGTTGGCATTATTTTAATCAAGTAATTATTTCAGGTCAGAGGTTTTTCAGGGGTTCACCAGGCTCTAGGAAAAGCATAGAGATACATTTGAGGGTCCCTCTAAAGTTGGGCACACAGTGCTTGGGATGCCCATGTTTCTGAGCAAAGTATTATTTACTTTCATCAGATTCTTTGAGACTACAGAAGTCTGGACAAAGGAGAAAATTGGAGCTAGAACGAAAATCTGAGCTACTTATGTGACAGCAAATAGAACTAGTTTTTCCATCTAAAGGGTTTCCATTCATGTTAAGGTCGTAAACACAAAATTATGGGCTGGGCAGTCAGTTTGCAGCACCCCTATATGGTTGCTTCAGAATATTCTGTGAGGCCCTAGTCTTCTCTGGCAGATATTCTTAATTTAGGAATCTAAGAAACTCCTGAAATTAGGCATAAAACTGTGGGTGTGTGACTTAAGTTCTTTTCTCCAGGGAAAGGAATCTAGATTTTTCAACAATTTCTCAAAGGGTTGCATGAACTAGAGAGTAAAACAAATCAAGAAACACAAGACCCACTGTGCTAGACAAAACTGTGTTGTTTTCTGCCATGTTCAGTAGATCCCGTCGGCTTTGCCCGCGGAAATCAGATACAAAAAACACCATACGCGGTAATCATGAAATCTCAGTCTCCTAGTCTCTCGGCCTCAGTCTCTCAGTGTGTGTGTGGGGGGCCGGGTGGTATGGTGTACTGTGTGTGCTGTGTGTGTGTGTGTGTGTGCGCTGTGTGGGGTGTGTGTGTGTGTGTGTGTGTGTGTAGTGGTATGGTGTGCTGTGTGGGGTGTGTCTGTGTGTGGTATGGTATGCTGTGGTGTGTGTGTGTGTGTGTGTGTGTGTGTGTGTGTGTGTGTGTGTGTAGTGGTATGGTGTGCTGTGTGTGTGTGTGTGTAGTGGTATGGTGTGCTGTGTGGGGTGTGGTGTGTGTGTGTAGTGGTATGGTATGCTGTGTGGGGTGTGTGTGTGTGTGTAGTGGTATGGTATGCTGTGTGGGGTGTGGGGTGTGCTGTGTGTGTGTGTAGTGGTATGGTATGCTGTGTGGGGTGTGGGGTGTGCTGTGTGTGTGTGTAGTGGTATGGTGTGCTGTGTGGGGTGTGTGTGTGTGTGTAGTGGTATGGTATGCTGTGTGGGGTGTGTGTGTGTGTGTAGTGGTATGGTGTGCTGTGTGGGGTGTGGTGTGTGTGTGTAGTGGTATGGTATGCTGTGTGGGGTGTGTGTGTGTGTGTGTAGTGGTATGGTATGCTGTGTGGGGTGTGGGGTGTGCTGTGTGTGTGTGTAGTGGTATGGTGTGCTGTGTGTGTGTGTAGTGGTATGGTATGCTGTGTGGGGTGTGTGTGTGTGTGTGTAGTGGTATGGTGTGCTGTGTGGTGTGTGTGTGTGTAGTGGTATGGTGTGCTGTGTGGGGTGTGTCTGTGTGTGGTATGGTGTGCTGTGGTGTGTGTGTGTGTGTGTGTGTGTGTGTGTGTGTGTGTGTGTAGTGGTATGGTGTGCTGTGTGTGTGTGTGTGTAGTGGTATGGTGTGCTGTGTGGGGTGTGGTGTGTGTGTGTAGTGGTATGGTATGCTGTGTGGGGTGTGTGTGTGTGTGTAGTGGTATGGTATGCTGTGTGGGGTGTGGGGTGTGCTGTGTGTGTGTGTAGTGGTATGGTATGCTGTGTGGGGTGTGGGGTGTGCTGTGTGTGTGTGTAGTGGTATGGTGTGCTGTGTGGGGTGTGTGTGTGTGTGTAGTGGTATGGTATGCTGTGTGGGGTGTGTGTGTGTGTGTAGTGGTATGGTGTGCTGTGTGGGGTGTGGTGTGTGTGTGTAGTGGTATGGTATGCTGTGTGGGGTGTGTGTGTGTGTGTGTAGTGGTATGGTATGCTGTGTGGGGTGTGGGGTGTGCTGTGTGTGTGTGTAGTGGTATGGTGTGCTGTGTGTGTGTGTAGTGGTATGGTATGCTGTGTGGGGTGTGTGTGTGTGTGTGTAGTGGTATGGTGTGCTGTGTGGTGTGTGTGTGTGTGTGTGTGTAGTGGTATGGTGTGCTGTGTGGGGTGTGGTGTGTGTGTGTAGTGGTATGGTATGCTGTGTGGGGTGTGTGTGTGTGTGTGTAGTGGTATGGTGTGCTGTGTGGGGTGTGTGTGTGTGTGTGTGTGTGTAGTGGTATGGTGTGCTGTGTGTGTGTGTGTGTAGTGGTATGGTGTGCTGTGTGGGGTGTGTCTGTGTGTGGTATGGTATGCTGTGGTGTGTGTGTGTGTGTAGTGGTATGGTGTGCTGTGTGGGGTGTGGGTGTGTGTGTGTAGTGGTATGGTGTGCTGTGTGTGTGTGTGTAGTGGTATGGTATGCTGTGTGGGGTGTGTGTGTGTGTGTGTAGTGGTATGGTGTGCTGTGTGGGGTGTGTGTGTGTAGTGGTATGGTGTGCTGTGTGTGGGGTGTGTGTGTGTGTAGTGGTATGGTGTGCTGTGTGGGGTGTGGTGTGTGTGTGTGTGTGTAGTGGTATGGTATGCTGTGTGGGGTGTGTGTGTGTGTAGTGGTATGGTGTGCTGTGTGTGTGTGTAGTGGTATGGTATGCTGTGTGGGGTGTGTGTGTGTGTGTAGTGGTATGGTGTGCTGTGTGGGGTGTGTGTGTGTGTAGTGGTATGGTGTGCTGTGTGGGGTGTGTGTGTGTGTGTAGTGGTATGGTATGCTGTGTGGGGTGTGTGTGTGTGTGTAGTGGTATGGTGTGCTGTGTGGGGTGTGTGTGTGTGTGTAGTGGTATGGTGTGCTGTGTGGGGTGTGTGTGTGTGTGTGTAGTGGTATGGTATGCTGTGTGGGGTGTGGTGTGTGTGTAGTGGTATGGTATGCTGTGTGGTGTGTGTGTGTGTGTGTGTGTAGTGGTATGGTATGCTGTGTGGGGTGTGGGGTGTGCTGTGTGTGTAGTGGTATGGTGTGCTGTGTGGGGTGTGTGTGTGTGTGTGTGTAGTGGTATGGTGTGTGTGTGTGTGTAGTGGTATGGTGTGCTGTGTGGGGTGTGTCTGTGTGTGGTATGGTATGCTGTGGTGTGTGTGTGTGTGTGTGTGTGTGTAGTGGTATGGTGTGCTGTGTGGGGTGTGGGGTGTGTGTGTGTAGTGGTATGGTGTGGGGTGTGTGTGTGTGTGTGTAGTGGTATGGTGTGCTGTGTGTGTGTAGTGGTATGGTATGCTGTGTGGGGTGTGTGTGTGTAGTGGTATGGTGTGCTGTGTGGGGTGTGTGTGTGTGTGTAGTGGTATGGTGTGCTGTGTGGGGTGTGGTGTGTGTGTGTGTAGTGGTATGGTATGCTGTGTGGTGTGTGTGTGTGTGTAGTGGTATGGTGTGCTGTGTGTGTGTGTGTGTGTAGTGGTATGGTATGCTGTGTGGGGTGTGGGGTGTGCTGTGTGGGGTGTGTGTAGTGGTATGGTGTGCTGTGTGTGTAGTGGTATGGTGTGCTGTGTGTGTGTGTGTGTGTGTGTGTGTGTTCGAGCGCATGAGAGAATGGAGAAGCAATAACAAAAGAACAGAGATTTAAGCAAGTCCTATACTGTATCACTATGATGTAATTTAGTTTCCCTGATCCATCTGAAACCCATTCAGAAACATTCATTTGACAAACCATCTGGAGCTTCACTATGGTTTAACTTCCTTATGCAAAATTAGCCCTTGCTTCTATATTTTTAGATGTCAAATTTTCTGTACGATCTCATTTGAAGAGAAAACATTCTGCAGCCAAAGAATGATCGAGAAAATGCCAATATGACCTACAGAATACTGTAAGTTCCTGAATAAACAAACATTCACACTCTTTTGCTGTGGGGCGGTAATTAACAGAGATTTCATAAAGCTTAGTTAACATATTTACTGATCACAATTGCCAAATCAGATCACTACCCAAATGCCATACCATAGTAGATATGCAAATACTTTGGGGGCAGCAAGATGAATGAATACGTTTTAGCCAAAAACTAGGGTCAAAAAAGTAGTAATTTCCTTAAAAAATGTTTGACATGAAATGAAGGTTGCTAGAATTTGACCACCTAACACATGCATGGATGACGGTCACACATTAGTTGTTTGGATGGATGTTCGTGATGACTGGGATGCACATGGATACTGAAGATTCTACTGCCACATGTTTAATGTCTTCGATCTTAGATCATTCTTCCATACAATATATTATGATAAAAAATGTTGTTGCTTAAAAAATGACTACTGTACCTTCTCCAACAGGAAGTGGATCTGGTCCTGTTTTTTCAAAATTAATAACTACACCACTCTGCACTTTTTGAACTAGTGATTCTAAACACTGATTCAGCATTCTTTGTGTTCTTACACAGTAGGAGCGACCTATGCCGGAGAGAAAAATTAAGAGCATATTTTATCAAATTAAATGCTGGTTCATAATACAAATATTTGAAAGCCTAAAATATCATTCAGAACCATCATAACTACATTAGCAAGAATGTGGTATGAACAATGACCTTAAGCAGCAGAGTTCACAAACTGCAAAGACAAGCAACCAAACACTAGCTATGGCATTTAATAAGAACCATACACTCTTATCCAAAATTCTTCCTTCAGACACATGAAACAACGATAGTACCTCCTGTGACTTCACACATCTGTGTGATGGCTGATTCATCAGTTGGTACACTCCCTAGTTGCTCTGGTTCGGTAGAAGCCACTCCAGGCAAACGCAACACCAGGGCAAATAACCTTTGATCCCAACGAAAAGGTTCTTTGGTTAGTTCACTTCCCGGCAGTGGAGAGTTCAAAGGAAGATGAAGCTGATAAGGCAAAATTTGAAAAGGTTCATCATAACAACCCACATGAAAAAGAAGAAAGAGTTCGCTTTCATGGAACTCAGAAGAATTAAGCTATCTCTTAAGGATTACCAAGATAGATTTGTGCAAGCTTTATTCTTAACTAGAAATACATGCCTCCCACAGAAATAGTTACATGTACTCTGCTATTTAAATGAAATGAAAAAAATTATATCTCACCTCTTCTTGAACGCTAGCAGTACTTGTTAACTTGTTTCCATCTGTGATGGTAATTAAAATAGACGGCTCTAAAAAAAACGGATTTCTCCCCTAAAATATATTTCAAAAGCATTAGAGCTGAGTAAAGCAATATAATTGTACTTAAACTTCTAAATTTGCCTTGCCAGTGATCCCTCAAACATAATAAAGTTTCCCTTGATAACTAAGGAATAAAAGCCTCACCCTTACTCATGAACCCATTCACCCGAGTCAAAAGCCTGGCAGATTAGGGCACACCTGTGGCACATGCTCTGCAGCCTGGACAGTGTGTCTGGGGATACTGAGCAGAATATTTAGCATAGGAAAGGACAATGGCGGCAGCAGTAAGTGCTTGTCTGACCTCCTCTTTGGTCTACAGTCTTTTATTAGAGGGGGGTGGGAGAGAAGTAAGGACAGAGAAGATTGCTCTCCAACTGTCTTGTTCTCATATTTTGCAGCACCTTATTTGTCACATTCTCAGATTTCTGATGATCAAAATGACAAGAAATTTTATTTGCTGTATAATTCATTGATGAATTGAGGTTTAAGAACCAAAATAGTGCCGGGCGTTGGTGGCGCACACCTTTAATCCCAGCACTCAGGAAGAAGAGGAAGGCGGATCTCTGTGAGTTCAAGGCCAGCCTGGTCTACAGAGCGAGTTCCAGGACAGTCGGGGGATGAGGGGGTGAAAGGAACCAAAAAAGTTGGGCTTGCTTTGTGATTTTTATGAAATGTGCATCATCTAAAAAACCGCATGAACCTCATTTTGGTTGATAATTCAGGTAGCACAAATCTTGCCTAATTTTGCACTCTTACCCTAAGTCATCAAAATAAATTAGCTGTACTCACTCAAAAATTGTTACCTGTCCATAATTGTCTATTCCAGATATTAATCTATTGAGATTTAACAAATCAAATGAGGATCTTAGAGCCTGACCAAGAGTAGTCAGTCCAGAAGCCTGAAGATTTTTCAGTTCGCTCATGAATGTGGCGTGATTTTCCTTCCAACCAGCCTGAAAACCAAACATTGACAAAGAAATTCTCAATTACACAAATATGATAGAGCGCAAACAAGCACTCAATAACACAGTGTCAAGCCGCTGATAAATAATCCCTCTTCAAACTAATTCCATTCTAGATCTTGACTATTCAAGAGGAATCAAAGCAAGTAGTCACTTTCAAAAAGTTCTACTAGCTTTAATGATCAAAGGCAAAGAAGTCAAGCAAACAACAATACATTCATTCGTTACAGCAGGGCTTTATTTCAAGATGGTAATCTATATTCAGGCTCAACCAAACCTACTCATACACACCAGCTCCCTCATCTTCACAGTGGCAACAAGCAGATGAGCATGGGGTAAGGTGAGAGTAAAATGCAACTATTTTGTAGATTCAGTGTCTTTGATAGAGGGGGGAGAGTTTCCCTTTTAAATGACAATACGGAGATGCACACAGAGTGTCTGGAGGGATGGCCCAGTGGTTAAGAGCACCTGCTGCTCTGGCAGAGGCCTCTGCTTTTGTTCCCAGCACATACGCTGGGTGGCTCACAACTGTGTGTAAGTACAGTTCCTACAGACCAACATCCTCTTCTGTTTTCTGGGGGCACCTGCACACTTGTGTGGCACATATACAGACAAGCGGCCACGCATAAATACATATCATTAATAATAAATAAATAAGCAGAGCCATATTTATTTGGAGACAATCCTGTTGGCACTATTTAAGATTCATAAAGTCCCAGACATAGAATAAGAAGAAAAAGAAAAGTTTTTGCAACGAAGCAACAGCTTCTAGGCACCCCCAGAAGCTATAAACAGCAGCAAGGAGCCAAAGAGTCAAGGTCAACAGCCAACTGTTGCTGGGATTAATTAGTCTGCAGAATTGGAGGAAGGAAAGGATTGTACTGCCTGCTCAGTAGTGACTATAAAAACAAAGCAACGGCGGGATACAAGAAGATGATGGCGGCTTTTAGTAAGTCACAGAGGAGTGTCAGCAAAGGGGAATGCAGATGGCACAGCCTGGCCACATGGAAGACTGGATGTCAGTCACTGGAGCCTGGAGGATGCTGAGGACATGGAGGATAAGCTGAGCACTGAAGGTACACCAACCAGAGCAGTACAGTTGGAGGCAGAAAGAGTAATACAGAGACAAACTCAGTAACTTATCTTTACTATTTGGCTAGAGTCAAAATGCCCATTATCAATACAACTACAGCAAACACTGTTTCAGTTTCATCATTTCTCAAAGCACAACAAGGCACAGAGGATAAAAGAACAAATGACCACATTGTGAAGGAAGAAAGGACATTGGAACAAGCCTGAAGATGACATGTCGTATTGATGTAAGAAGTAGAAAGGACCATCAAAAGAAGAGGAGTTCCTAAAAGGATGAGTCTTACTGGAGAACCACTAATAATATTATTATTGCTCTGGATATATGGCAGAAGTCAAGGCTAATGGGATAATTTGGGCTCTGACTATTAAATGTTTTGTACAGCACACTCAGTAGTTTGGATTGTATCTGCAGCCCTGGGAAGAACTCAGTGTTCTTTTTAATTAGGGGAGTGGTGTGATCAGATCTGCATTTTAGCAAGATCATGCTGCTAGGAGCTGGAGACTAAATTGAGGGGTGGAGGGAAGACCGAAGCTTGAGGCAGGAAAACTGGTTTGGAAACTGTTGCAGTAGCTAAGAGAAAAGTAATGAAAGCCTGAGCTAGGACAACAAGGGTAAGAGGTGATTGCAGACTAATGAAGTACTTTAAGAGGTGGGGTTGCCCGGACTCAGCACCTAATTTAGTGGGATGGATGAGGGAGGAGGGCTCATAGGTTAGGTTTGGGTTTCTAGCTTGGGAAAACTTCCGAATGATGGAATCCTTATTTCATTCAGCAATATTAGTTCCACACTATAAACTCATCCATATTAAGTGTTGAATTCCTAAAAGGCCACAGGACAACTCAGGATATGACTAAAGAGAAATGGGTGTACTACTTGGAAATCACTTAAAAACTCATAAATATTGTCAAATGTGGTGGGACCTGCTTTTTAAGTCCAGCGCTCATATGGTGGAGACAGTCCAGACAGATTACAAATGAAACCCAAGGCCAGCCTGGACTCTATCTCAAAAGGAGGGAGCAAGATGGTTCAGAGAGTAAAAGTATTGAGCTCAATCCCCAGGACTCATAGCAGTAGAAAGAGAACTGTTCTCTTAGCTGCATGTGTGCCACGACACACATGCCCATGTACACACACATAGATGCACACACCCATAAATAAATAACATACTCGAGGGGGAAAGGCTCTGCTGGTGAAGGCATCTGCTGCCAAGTCTGACGATCTTGATCCTTAAGACCCCCATTGTGGGAGGAGAGAAACACCACATGAAATCTGTCCTTTGACCTCCACACATACTCTGTGGCATGTTCCCAACCACCACATGCACACAATAAATACATAAATCATAAATAAATCAGTAACTATTAATACTTTTAATGGGCAGCTGTAATCCAGCACTCAGGAGACTGAGGTGGGGACCAAGGCTTAAAGCCAGCTTAATCTACAAACTGAGATCCTGTCTTAAAAACAGTCAAGCAAAAAACAAAGTAGGAAAACAAGTCAACAGGGAAGTAGCACAATGGTACTGTTTGCCTAGCATGAAGGCACTGGGCTTGATCACTAACTGGGGGTTAAGTGAGGAGTTGACACTGGGGGCCAACTCACTGGTATTAAAAGAACATATGCATCCTGGTTTTTACTAGTCTTACTCATCAATTTGTTAGGATACTTACTCCTTAGAATTTTCTTTCACAGCATAGCTTGAAAGCATTTTATAAATGGTTTCAATGTCTAAATATATAACATCTGTTTTAGGTCAATTCTTCGCCTTTATATTGAATTGGATGATATGAAAAAATTTTAATGTCATTCCATACTTGAGTGTTACAAAGTATTGAAAGCAATGGGTCTCTTGACAGTCACCTGGATCCTATTTCAAGAAAGAAAGTAAATGGCCCTCTATCCATTTTCCATAAGTAGGAGGGGCTAGAAGATAATTTAAAAATTTAGAAAACTTTATTAATGTAACTAGTTTCTTCCTAAAAAGCCATTGTCAAGAAATAGCAGTAGAAAGTACATGTTAATGTTCTCCATTCATTGCTTGAGGCTATATTTTTCACAGTGCAACCAACTCAGAACAGCTAATGTGTCTTTTTATTTTCAAAGCACAGATATTCAAACCCTAGTCTCTTGTATACTGAGTACACACACTACCACTGAGCTACATTCCCAGCCCCTAATAAAGAGGAGTTTCTTTTGTTTGGGCTGGGAACTGAACCTATGGCATTATGCATGCTAAGCAAGCACTATACCACCGAGCTATATCCTCAACCAGATATTTCTTTCAAAATACTCTACTTCTAAGACATTCTACTCTTGTGTGAAAGAACTTTCATATATTCTTGCAGAACTATGCTTACAAAGTACATTCACACTTCATAACAACCCAACTAAACAGGTACATTCTATTTTGTTTGAACAAACAAGGAAGAGGTAAGATGTGGTTCTTTTTTGTGGAAGTAACAGTGATGACAAGTAGAGCAACACGTGACTATTGAACACTTGAAACGTACATAGTCGAAATGAAGTTGTGATATAAGAATAGAATACATTTAGGAGCTTTTCATGGTGTTGAGAACAGAACTGAGGCATCTTCACAACCTAGGCAAGGAATCTACAGAATTACTTCCCCACATCTACACGTGAGATTTTGAAGCTATAGACTCCTCCCCCAAATAATATAAAAAATCTCACTTTTCATTTTATATTGATTATATTGAAATGATACTCTGAGACATGTTGAGTTAAGATAAACTAATAAGGAGCTGGAGAAATGACACAGTGGTTAGGAACATATACTGCTTTTGTAGAGGATACAAGTTGGATTCCAACACCCATGGGGGTGGCTCACAAACACCTGTAACCCCAGCTCCAGAGGATCATACTCCTCTGCCTTCTTATGGCATATGGACTCACAAGCACATACCCACATATAGACACTACATGCAATGAGGACCTGGGTTCGATTCCCAGCACCCACATGGCAGCTTACAACTGTCTGTAACTCCAGTTCCAGGGGACCTTTTTGTTTGTTTTGGTTTTGGGGTTTTTCATATATATAAATTTTATTTGAATTAGAAACAATCTTATTTTACATATCGATTCTGGTTCCCTCCCATCCTCTAATACCCCCACAACGGTCCCCTCCTATCCCATCCCCTATCCACTCCCCAGGGAGGGTGAGGCCTTCCATGAGGGATCATTATAATCTGTCAAGTCATTTGGGGCAGAGCCTAGGCCCTCCCTTGTGTATCCAGTCTGAGAGAGTATCCCTCCATGGGAAATGGGCGAATTCCATTGTGCACTAGGGATACATCTTGGTTTCACTACCAGAGGCCCCATAGGCTGCCCAGTGTTCAGTTCCAGGGTATCTCATACCTTTACACTGATGCACATAAAAAAGAAAAATAAAAGGTTAAATAAATTATGAAAAAAATCATTTAAATAAAACTGACCTACAGAAGGAAAATACCTGTTACCTTATAAAGTATGTTAATTTAGGTCTGGTTTAAATTTGCATAGGCAGCTCAAAATATCTTTTCATGTCAATAGAAAAACAACTCTGCCTGACTGGCCACTACGCACTTATTCCCAGTTATACCAACCAGTACACAGTAGAGACCATCTCAGAGGTGGAAAGCCTAAAGAGGCTTCTCACTGCCATCATCTCTACCTTCTAACCAACTGATAGGTTTAGGATCAAACAGTCAGCACTGTCTTTCCCAGATGATTGCTAAAGCCCCTTTGAATTGCTCACTTTGTTCTCTGACACGTAATACTTACTTAGGAGGTAAGCTCTGTCCCTAAGGAGACCAACAAAGCAGGTGTATCAGTAATAATATCTGAAAACGTTTCAGGATCATACATCTAGATTGGATTCTTAGTCTAGCCTTCATCAGGA